ACTACATTGCCAGCCAAAAGTACTTGGAATACCCAGCAATTTGCATTTTTTTCAATCTGCAAGACCGAGTAGGCTGTTTTTTTCATCTACATGTTTATCTACTGTGGCCCCACTGCAATGGATCAGAGAAGATCTTTCAGAGAAACGATCTTTCCAGCATGTATAAACCAACCATTTTATAGGATAACTGCGAATATCTTTATCAGAGCTGTCAACAGAGCTGCAAATATACTAGATGGTTTAAGGTCTGCTTGAGTAAAAATGATTGGCTAATGTGCTTTCAGCCTTTTTTATCAGTGCAACTCCCAATTTTGCAACAACCTTCCACCTTTGCAAAAATTTTGTAAGTTTGAGTATAAGGATAATGTGACCCCTCAAAACAAATACATTGTTAAGAATTGTTTTCCTGAGGTCATTCTGGTAGAAAGCATTTTGTAAAGAGTTCCATATTGTTATATCAAATTCATCGTTTTTTAACTCAACTAACTACTGACACACAGGATACATACATAAACAAGTCTTTGTTAAGAAATAAACTATTGTGTAATATCAACAATGCAGTTTCACGCTTCATGTGAAAATGACTACCAGGTGACATTGTTTTGTTCATTGTGTAACTAAAGATTGTTTCCTTAAGGTATATATATATATATATAGACTTATGTATATAATACATTTAACACATAATGTTAGGTATAAGCCTTTTACTTTTAGAATTTCAAGAAACTATTTATTTTTTGTTATATAGAAATATAATTGGGAAGCTATTTTTTTAGATTTTTACAATAAAAGAATGTTTGAGGAAGTGAATACAATACCATCAGGTTATATTGACTTTATGTATCTTTCATTTTACAGGACATAGTTTTAGCATTAAAAAGAACATCAGCTTCATTGTCTCTAATTGGTTGGTAAGTAAGTTTTGGTTAAGAGAAATGCTATTAAATATTTTTGGAATTTAGATTTGACACTTATTTGAGATCGGCCTGTGTCAGACAGCCTTTGATGTTTCAATCATTTAACAGCTCAAATTGTTTTTCACTGGATTAGTCAAATCAGTTAATTTGCTATTCTTCTTACAGTCTCGAAAGTGTCACTGTCTTATTAAAGATCTGCACTTACCAAAGCTGAAAAGATCAGAGTCTATTACATTATATTCACTTATAAAGGATAGCAGTTTATGTAATAAGACCTGTTTTGTATACACACCTGTTTCAATTTCATTTCGTTCTAGTCTGTTCTTGATCTTCCTGATATGGCTTTTCAAAAAGTACAAATTCTTTGGCCAGGTATGGTATTTAAATTATTTAATAGAATTTTTGTTGGGTCTCCTCTGTTAGGCTTTTTTTGATGATGGCATATACACTCAAAATGACAGCACATTTTGTCAACTTTTCAACCATATCATACATTTGAATGCCTGAATTGGGTGAGATAGGCTTACTTTGTAGCAGATTTAGATGGGAAATTCTTGAAAATCTTGCTGATGCCATAGAAAATGTAATTTGAAATGTATAAATTACTCAGAAAAGATTTTGTTTGTAGAATAATAGAGGATGCATAAAAGAAAAAAATGTCAAATGAGATGCGAGTCGCTATAAAATGTTTAATTTATAACATGATATATGATATATATTTAATTGGGAGAGAAGCCTTAGATGCTGCCACACATCAGCTGTGAGAATTTAAAAAATTTTCTCGAGAGTGTTTAAGAAGTCAAGCAGTGCCCATGCAGATGATTAATTTGAGAGGGGAAAGAATGTGACTGTCTGTTTCACTTCATGTTGTTTACACTATGGGACACTCAAGGACTTGTGGCTGAGCAAGGTTTTTTAGCTAAAAATCCTTGCAGACAAATTAGAATGAGTGTCTTATAAAAATACAAAATAAAAGTTACCTGAGAAAAGGAAACAATTTTTACAATGATTTATTTTCAAATAAGAATGATTCAAGTTTTTCCATGGCATCCATCAAGTCCAGATTTTCAGTTCATTGACAATGTTTGGCTTTGTATGAAAAACTTTACGACCCATGATTTTAATGGTTCTTGAAGAGCCAAAGAATCATTGATTAGAAGAGTTCTTCAGGTTTGACAAGAAATTCCACAATAATGCATTGCCCAATTACCTGCAACCAATTTAAGAAGACTGAAATCGGTTTTAAAAGTTTGCGGCCCCTATCAAAATATTAACATTTGAATCTGTTAAAAGATGTTTCTTATTGTTATTTTTTAAAAAAAGTGCCCTAGAAAGATTGAAGTTTTGATTGGTGGTTGTTTCACTTCCAACCCACTCCTATTTGCCACTAAAAACACAACCAATTTAATAGCTTTTAATTATTCTTATTCCATCTAACCTCCTTTGAGGTGGTGCAATACTTTTGTGAAGGAAGTGTATGAGTTTGTTTTAAACTTGAAATTAACAGGTATGATTAAAAGCACACTTCAAATAGTGAGTATTTAAGCTCAACAATTTGTGGTCTTGACTGCAACTAGAGGCTCCCAATTCATTCAAGTTAGAAAACAAACATACTGAGTTTGGTTGCAAGGTAGAATGTAAAGTTTTTATCCAGTAGTGTTGTCAGTGGAGGAAAATTTATATGACACTTCAAAGCATATAATGGTCTTAGCATATTTACTGCCACATAATTTAATGCCAGTTCTATCAATAAATGATGCATGTATTTCATTTGAATTCTACTGAATAATTTTATTGATCTCTGGGTGTTTTGGTCTGCAAACAAGCAAGTGAGGCCATGGATTTTCTCACTGAAAGCCTTTAAAACACATTGAAGCAAATTCATTTAGTAGGCAACATGTTTAGTAACAAAATTGCAATGAATTAGAATACCTACTAGAAGGGCAAATGAACTTATTTGAACTTTCTTCATCGGGACACCATGATATTGGAGTAATTAGTAGTGATACAGGTGCCTGTAGAGTTTTTTATAGTTATAAAGTTAATACGATCTTTAAATGCTGCATCTTAACATTTTCATTGACTTTCCATTTTTAATTTTAGAGAATGATACTTTCCTTGGGTATTGCAGCCCTCTTGGACAGTATATCTTACATTATGGTATGTTGCTTCTAGTACAACACAACCAACTTGTAAGGAATGTAAACAATTGAATATCATCATTCTTTGATTTCTTCTCAACTCAATTTTACTTTTGTTTAGAGCCCTTTTGTGAGCTAGAACCGATATATCCAATTTCAGTGAAGGTGAATTTTTGTTTTTAATCTTAGAATCTCCCATGCCTCTTGTTAGGGACATAAATTTTGAGAAAGAATCTTTCTGCATAGGTAAAATAGTGTTACTTTGAGCACAGCTATAATTGTAACCTTGGGAATAAGTAATTTGAGCTTGCATCATAATTTTTCAAAGCCGTACACCACATGGGGAATTTTTTTGTGAAAATTCATACAAAAATTACAGGATAAGATCTGTTGGTTTTCCCATCTCAGTTGTGCAACTTTCTGTGGATAAAATAGATTTTTCAGTAACTGCTGTGTGATCAAGTTATGTTGAAAGCTGAAAGCTATTGAAGCTCATTCTGCACCTATTGTTATCATTTCCTTTGCTTTTTAGGGTGACATCTATCCAGATGGGAAGCTTTGTGAGGCACAAGCTTTCTTGATGTCATATTTTGGTATGTATTTTATATTATTCAATTGGTCATAAATGCTAGCTAGTTGTTTTAAAACATGATTAATTGGAAACAGATAAGATTTCTTTAGTCTGACAAGGTATTACATACAGACAAGACTTGAAATTAGGGTGTAGATGTTTTCTCCTGTCATCAGCTCTGAACGTTTATCTAATGTGTGAATAAATTCTGGATAGTTTCAATCATGTATAATTGCAAACAAATAAAATTTTGTTTGCCATGCTTTTGTGTAGTATTTATGTTATTTTGAATATAACATTCTTGATTAGAATATCCCTTTTTTGCTTTTTTCAGATTGGTCAGTATTGTGCTGGGTATGTTGTATTTCATTCAATTTGTGGTTGTTGGCCGTTAAGAGGATGTACAAAAAAGGATTTGAAAAGTAAGTATAGCTCTTTAATGAGATTGTGTCTATCTACTGCTGGTGACTGAATGGTTTTAGTGCGAGCATTTATGCTTCTATATGAAAGGCTGCAGAAAATAGCAGAACCTGGGAAGTCCCATAAATTTTCATAGCTTGCAGAAATATTTTTACCACAATAGATATTTACCATTAAAATCGGAAAATGAGCTCAAGTAAGAAATGTAATCAATTCTTCGCAGTGTTGCCCAGTGAACATTATATTTAGTTTTTCCTGAGAAGTTTCAAATCAGCAAAGAAAATGATGACAAAGGGAAGGTGTCAATCTGAGCCCTAACAAAAACCCTGGAAAATACCATTGTCACCTTTCAGATATAAACAAGTCAGAAACCTCCACTGCTCAAAAATCTCAAATGAAAGACTCAATCAATGCACCAATACAAGACCTTAGAGCATTGTCATCCTAAAAAAACCTATCTTTACTGGGTCATCTTATGATGCTACAATCTGAAACCACTCTATAAAAGCTGTGACCCATTTTCAAAAACCTGTGAGGAAATCAACAGGAAGACCTCAAACCACATAGCTTATCAGAGTAATAAATGTTCTCAATGAAAATGCAGATATACACAACCTGACTGAAAGTTTGGAAGATAAAATTAAAATGCTTGAAACTCTATGTTCCAACAGAAAGACCTGGAGCTCTGTTGCTAACAGTGTTATGTAAGCTAAGTTAATGAAGATTTAGTGATGATGATGATGAAGTGCAGGCTTTCGTGGGAAAAATATAGCAGGCGTGCTAACCACCGCACCCCTGAAAACATCCAGGCGTGTGATGGCGTGTGACATTTTTTCACAAAACATTTTGGTAATTATGGTAGATCTACGGAGAAATGGCCAACACAAAAATGATGACAGCAAAAATTTCTATGAAATTTACTTCGCTGAATTCTTACCATGACTACTTAAATTTTAGCAATTGAGCAATTTTCTAAACAAGTATAAACTGAGCTTATTTAATATATCCAAAAAAACGGCACTACAAAAATAGAAATATGTTTGCCATGTTGTAAGCAGTTTTCATTAGCTTCAATTATGAATCCTTAGCAGAATCATTGATGCTTTGGCGTTCATCTGGTTGTAATGGCAGTTTTTTCGTGTAAATCAGTGCATCGAGAGCCCTTTGTTATCAAACATGACAGCTATTTTGTGTACGTCACTGGCCAGATGCATAAAAGATAATTATGGCCCAATTTTCATTAAATCAAATGTTGCTAAAATCTAGATTTAAAGCATAGCGATGTCTAAAGAGGGGGCTGTAGGGGGTAGCGAAATCCAGCAAATCCTCTGTTGTTTTTTTCCGCATCATTGGCAAATCGGCTCCTTTTTATCGCATAAGCGGCTACTTTCGTACATTAGCCATAAAAAAAGAAAGTCTTGTTCAAAACACTTAATGTTCCTCTTAAAATTCGGGGACAAAAATGTCTGTTATAGTCTTCTGTGTTTGTATTTGTTCAATGAAATGCCTTAAAGCCTTGAAAAAGTGTAAACGTTTGCACAAATTCTTCTCCTTTTTTGCATCATTAAAAGTGCATGTTTGCCAATGTATGTTTTGTCGCTGACAATAATGACTCCACCGAGAAATAGTTATAAATATACACCGGGAATAAGTAGACCAAAATAACGGTAAAGGTTTTGGAAAAGTTCGTCATATTGAGGAAAATTATGATGAAGAGACTAAATTAGTTTCGTTATAACGAGAATAACGAGAGTTGTGCAGAGGTAGAGTTCAAGGGGCCAGACATTTTTTGTCATGCCGGAAAATTAGTTATACTTGTAACCAGGTCAGGTTTCATAATATCGGGATTCCACTGTAGATTAGTTCTATGATTATTTCAAAATTTTATATTTAATCGGCAATCCTGAAAAGGCGTTAAGCCTTTTTGAAGTGGCATGAAGTAATAGTACCAAGGAGGGATCAATTTATTAACTCATCTCAAAAACCCACAAAACCAATAATTATGAATTTTGCTCCGATAATAAAAGAAGGCGTGCGATGTTTTGCACTCCTGGAAAGCAGCAGGCGTGCGCCAGGGCGTGCGCCAGGGCGTGCGCGTGCGATCGCACGCCTTTCCGACGAAAGCCTGAAGTGATAAATGTTTAATACTAATGGTAGATGTGAAAAATACTAACACATTGATTTTGCTTAGTACCTAGAAACATTGAGAAAAACATCTTCTATTCTGTGTAAAATTTCTTCTGAATTAGTTTTAGTGGGAGCGTATCTTTATGATTCTATATGAAAGCTTCTACTTGTGCCTTGAAGTATCTTACTGAAGCAGGTTTTTTTTCAAATTTATGTCACTTTAGCAAACAATAGTTAAATGTCAGTTATAACCAGTACCACGACAAAAAAAGATATTGGTAAAAGTTTTTCAAAATTATTATTTTTATCATAGTCATTCAATTTTTGTTTTTGTAGGTTCTACCATTTTGTCAGCTGGGGAATTCCACTGTTCTGGGCAGTCCTTCCTTTTGTTGGTGATCATTACGGACCTGCGGGAGTCTGGTGGTATGTTTTTTCTTCTAGATAGGCCAATAGGAGAACAATAAAAAGCGTTTGGATTTCTGGATATATATTTTCAATAAGTTTTTCAATTCTATGAACCTTTATTGTCTGATTCAAAACCAGCTTACAGTGGATTCAATTACTTCGATTGTAATTAATCATCTCGAGTATGGTACATTAAATGTAAAATATTTCAGTGGCTTTTATCTTCAGACAAAAGGTGCATCAAAATTTTTACTTTAAGAATTTTTTCCTAAATAAAGCCCCCGAAAAGTTTCACTTTTTGAAAATGAAGTGTCTTACTCAAAAGCATTTAAATAGCATATATAAAGGGAATTTGTTGTAAGATCTAGCTACTAAGTGAAACAGTACCATATTTTGTGAGCTAAACTCATTAAGCAATCACAAAACATCCTCATCTTCCTCAACAATTATTATATCATCTTCTGTCATACTTTCATCGAAGTCAACAATTCTATCTTTGATTGGTTCATTTCCTTCATCTAGCTCTATTTCACCTACTTCACAGCAGTCTTAGGATCATTGTGAAAGCTTTTTGTAAGGCAGTCATAAACCCCAATGAGAAAATGAGTATTACTAATGAAAACCCCTTCGAAAACACTTTGTATTGAATAAAGTGAAGTGAGCTTAGTGACTTCAGTAAGCTTAGTGAGGCGAAATGTAGTATTTCAAATGTAATAAGTGTTTTTTGTCTGAAATTTTCTTTAAAATCCTCTGAAATTTGAAATCGTGAAAAATGGTTGAAAATTTTTTGTCTGAAAAAGTTCTTTCTGAAATTTGTGCTTTCTAAATGTTTGGTTTTAATGTACTTTCTGTGAACAAAACTGCTATTTTAGAAGCTTTAGACGTTCGATACCCTCAATTTATTTTATTGTTTGTCTTTGTTAGTAATATGTATCATTTGTCATCAATTTTAGTTGGATTGATAATAACAGTTATGCCTGGAGATTTGGGGTGTAAGTAGCACTCAATATTTTTCATCATATCAGGGTAATAAGATGCATGCATCAATTGACATATTGTAACTTAGTAACTTTGTTACTTTTTAATGACTTTGCCAGTTGCACTCATGGTCAAAACTAAAGCCTTTTTGATGTCTTTTTTGAAGTAACACTTAAGTTATTTAAATGTTAGTTTTGCCTTTTGATATGAGATATGTTTTATATTTTATAATTTTTGTGAATCAAAGCTGTACTTTTAAGCTAGTATTAAAGATTGAGATTCACTCATTTCTCCTACTTCTTACTGCTGTATTTTTTAGGGTTGCTTTTATTCTCAGAAATATGATCTTTTTATTCTATGCTATTTCTTCCCCCCTGGACATATGTTACCTGCTAATTTGCTTCATTCCTTACAGCTGGTATGTTCCATTATTTATTCTGATCATTGGAATGGTTTTTACCAATTCTTACATTGTCTGGAAGGTTTACAAAGAGGTAAATAATATATTATATGCTATTAGATGTATATGATAATAACCAAATATGTACAATATATTAATGTTGATACTTGCTTTACGAAAACAGTACAGTGAAAATATTTCTAATCATAATTTTGTTCAAGGGTAAAATTTTGAGTTTTATGTAAGTGTATTTTTTAAGCTCTGTCCTATTTCACCCTGTTTTTTTAACTTGGGCCTTCAAACATGTTAGAATGTTTTCTTACAAAGTAAGTCCAATAACATAACATCAACTATCCAAAGCAAGTTTTTAGCGATTTTGTATAATGTTACAGTGCCACTCAATTATTTGAGCCTTTGAATGACAAAAGCATATTTTGTTGGCTTCAGTGTAACTTATTTCTTCATCTTGCTAATGGGACACAAAAGCCTCAAAATGCCCATGTTAATTCTTCAAACCTCGTTGTACTGTCTGAACTGTTAACATTTTTTGGCTCTGAACAGTATTTTTTACAACAATATTTAGAAATCAAGTGCCTTTTTGTAGGCGGCTGAGTGGGAGGGTACGTTTAGCCAAGAGCATGAAACAGATAGGGTAAGTATCTTTTATGCAGGGCAAGAGGTTTTGTTTTCTGATATTGATACTTCTTGCTGAATCAAACCTAATTTTATTCACTAGTGATTCTTGCAAAAACTCTTTTGATAGTGTGACAATATTCTGATTGATAGTATGACAATATTCTGACAAAGAGATTCTAGGACCCATGGGGTGAGGCTTAGAGTTGTTGCACTTAAATTATTCATACACTTTTATGATCTAGATATATCTACAAATTCCAGCCCCAAGACTTTTGATATGACAACTGTGATACTTACAGATCTCATGTGGCTTTAAATTTGATCTTACCTTTCTTTCTATTGAATAATTCCTCTCCAGTCCTCCGTTTCCTGTTCAAATGTGCTCCACAGTTCCTTGATTGATTTTTTGCAGTGCACCAATTTCACGGACTGCCAGGTACATTAGGGAGCCATTAGCTGTTATTTTCAGTTCCCAATTGAATCAATGACTGTGATTACTAAAATATATCTCTGCTTTGACCACAGAAACTTTTGAAAGAGGAAGTTAAACGCTTGGTGGCCTATCCCATCATTTATTTGGTTTTGAGCATATGCCCACTTATCTTCAGGTAAAATTATTTGGTGTTCTTTGCCTATCTGTCATTTTTTTCAGTTTGGTGGATTGTAGAAAAAAAGTGCTGGATTTGTTTCTCGTTGTCTTGATTTGAGTTTATAGGACCCTTTGTAATAGCAGTAACAATCTTTACTGAAAAGTTATTCTGTATAGATGTGGTTTATTATTGTTCTTATTTGTGGCATAATTGTATTATTTGCAGCATTGTTTACCCTATAAGTACTCGAGACATGTCTATTGCCTCGTTTTGATTATGCGGAATACTCATCTAATGGTTCAACAACCATCCATTGCTTAGGTCGTGCTGTATATGAGAATGAAAATTGTTTCGTCTTCCAGTACTATTTTCTTCTTCCATCTAGGATGAGTTTAATGTCAGAATTACTCAGCCTTTTTTTTTATTGTTTTCAATTTGGACCTTTGCAATTGAAGTTTCAAAGCTGTCCATAGTTTGCTATTTTTGTACTGTACTTTACTTTCAAACCATACAATTGTTTAAAAATTGATGTTTTGTGAATAATCGTTACCAACAACTTCACATTCTTTTATTATAGAATTCATAATGCCATCCATAGAAATGGCCATTCCAGTTATCCTTTGCTCGTTTTAACCGTCATCTTTGGCCCTCTGCAAGGTAAAGAAAATCACATCTACTTTAAATCGAAACTTGCTTGGAATTGTTAGTGTTTTGTTACATTTTCTTAACATATCATTCGAAATAGGTGTAGCCCTGGCTCATCCGAGAATTCATTTGACCAGTTTATTTAAAAGGCAATTTTAGTGACTTTGTTTGTCACATTAGAATCAGCAACCTGTTCGCTCGTATTCAGATATCATGCCGTTAAAATTTCTCTGTACTCTTTTTGCTAGAGATTACTAGCATTTTGCATAATAAAACCCAAAATCAGTACTATAATCTATATAAATGTCCTATCCTTATGCATGTTTTGCGAAATCAAGCGACTTTGGGATATCATGGTGTTAAATTTAATACTGTTATACTTACGAATACTTGATTTCAAAATGTTTGAAATATTTCTGCATGACATCAAAAGGAGCAAGAGCTCCTTTGGCCTAGTATGCTAAATGATTTGTGGGTCAGGACAAGCCTAGGCAAGAGTCTGGCTCACCGGGCAAAAGTGATGAATTGCATTCAACGTATATTGCTGTTTACTACGAAAATGCATTCCAGATCATGGAGTTTTGCCTCAGATTTACATATTCTTCATAGTAACGTCAATTTAGTTTAAAAATGATCCATAAATAACTGTAGCTATTTTCCTCTTCCTTTCAACAATAGGAGCCTGCAATGCGATTGCATTTGCGATTGACCAAGAAACATGGAGGCGCCTCACATGGACAGAGATAAAGGTAATTTTCTATTTCGTGTATCCATCATCTTAATCATATTCTTGGTTGACCCATTCGCCCAACACGCAAATTTTTCCAGTTTAATTTGGATATCTTTGGTTTTCTCTGTGTGTGATACGCTGGTTTTGTTTGTTTCCAAATAATCCTTCGGATATTCCTCTAACACTGTGGATGAATAGGATCCTAATAACTGAGCTAACAAAAATTTTATGGCTGCTGGTGTTTAAATTAATTTAATATTTCATTGAAAGCCAGTGGTTTCAAATGAGTGATAACGGCTTTGAAATTATTAAACTTGCTTTGCTATGATGGATTTGATTATTTTTACAGCTATAGAAATGTCTTTTCGAGATGTCGTGCCTTTGGTGTATATTTGAATAAGATTAGATTGGACATTGAGTTAGTGATTAGAAAGGTTCCCTTTGTATCCTTTTTCTTCACCGGTCTTCACCTTGATTTTGTCATCAGGTGTGTTTCTTTCATAATTATGTAATATTGGCTATGGCTTCCAATCTACCTTGAGCCATTGCATATGATAAAGATTTTGAATATTTAGAATTTGTCTAGTCATTTGTTCTTATGTTGATTTTTTCTTGCATCGGATTGGAATCTGCTTGTCATCGAGTTTTATTCGTATTCCCAGCTTGCGCTGCGATCAAGATCATCTTCTGGGTCTGGCCAAGTTATTCACAATTACAGAGTCGATGACGTGGCTCCAGAAACCCCAGGCCAAAGCTCCACGTATTCTTCACCTAGAAGTACAGATGACGGTATCGCGAACCCTTTGGCTTAATGGAAGACAATTTCAGCATTCAATAAACACCAGTATATATCGAATATTTTTTTGTATTTTTTTTTAAAACGAGAAATGCCGAGAATGGCTTATGAGTCTAGGAACTGGTAATGACCAGTGTTGTGGGTATGGCTTTAATGGTTCAATGGGATTTTGAAGCGAATTATAAAAGCTATCATTTAAGTTATTAGGCAACAAAGCCAAAATCTAATCAAGTCCAGTTTGACGTTTAACCCAAAACCTAATCAAGGCTTTTTCAATCATTGGTGAAATCCCTTATGTAGAATACGTCCTGCAACTCTTACTTTGATGTACAAAAGCATTTTCATTCTTTGCTTTGGTAGTAGGCTAGGATCGCCTATTTTTTTGAAACGTAAATTGAGTGACTGTAACAGTTTTTAAATGGGGAAAACGAGTGAACAGGGATGTAATTAGTTACTTAGAATATGAAATGGTTTTTTGCAAAAGTTCAATTTAGCTCATCCTACAAATATGTTGTTGAGCTTTGCTGTAAAGAATGTCTGTAGACTTGGTTTAATTAATCCAAATCCATTTGTTGGCTCACTTTTGAGCTCCTAGTGGAAATTGTTTTTCGGATGAAGTTTAGAGCCACGTCATTTAAGCGCCTTCTTACTGTTTTTCGTGTTAAAGCTGAATGAAACTTATTTTCACATTAAATACTGTAACCAGAGACACGTGCAATATGCTGCCACGTGACCAGCTTCTGGGTGAGTATCCAGTGTCTACTAGGCCCTAAGCAGTCCTTCTTATTTCCTCAACATAATTTACATCCCTGTTCACGAGCTTCTTAAATTCAACTTAAAAGGGAAATTCCATTTATTGTGCAGGGGTGTTTCCTAAATAGTGTGTACTAAGTTATTATATTAACAAGTAATTTGTATGCATTCATAACCAAAAAATGAATCTGATTGAAATTTCTACTTCTTTTGACCTAGAATCATCTTCCTCCCGCCCCGCCCTTTTGAAGGCCAGGTTCCCGCAAAATCTTTGCAACATGTATCCTTAACTTATGGTTGAAGACGTAGAATTGACACTTCTTTTGGTTGAAGACAAACTGAAGATTTTAACACATTCTTGCTACTTTTTTAAACAAATTGCTGATTCTATCCTTATCAGGTGTAAATAATAAATTCATTAAACATTCCTTCTTTTTTTGATGCTAAATTCTCCATGATAGTTTGCGAAATCATTATGCAATTAGAAGCTATGCATACAATCAAATTTTACTGTTAACTGTGAATCCCTCTCAATGCCATTTGAATTCATTTCTATCTAGTTAAGCCACCCAAAGACAATGGTGATGGGGTAGTACTGACGATAGTCTTAATCACGTTTCACGTTTTGCAGCTAGAGGCAGGTAATTTTTCAAACAACATAACTTCATAATTAATCTGCTCTCCTTAAATACATAAACTGAAATTGTACAAAAAAGAGGATAACAATCTAGGGGCGAAGGTCGATTCTTTTCTAGTACCTTTCTAGTTTTCTAGTTTTCTAGTAACAGGATTTGTTTTGAAGCTTTTGCTTTTAGCACGTCCATAATCTCGGCGACATAATCAAGCAAACGTTCCAAGCTAGTATGGAGTGTTTTTTAAAAGCTGACTCCCTGTACGTACCCTCCCTATCTAGAGCTGGTATTACACATTCTTCAAAACAAGATATCAAATCTCATTACGTAACACTTTTCTTCCCTCGACTCACTATTACGCATTCACTGCTTAAAATTTCTTTATGAAGTACATACCCGACACATTTGTCCTTAACAAAAATTGGCAGAGCTTTCATATTTAATACGCAATATTTAAAATGTCCTTAAATCATGAGAATGTTATGAGTTGAAGCTCCTCGCATTAACATTTGTGTTTGACTCTGTACTGTCTTAACACATTTTTTCAAAATTTTAGCTCAACAATTAAGTACACGGCAGGCTTCTAAAGGCTCTGTGAGTTTTTGACTCGTGTATAGAACAGATATTGAAACAACATTTTCCGTTCTTTCCTCGAATATCCTTCTTGGTTTACACACTTTTATAAGAAACCACTTTAACAGAAACCTACATCTAGAAGGCCGAAAAAAAAAGTCCTTGAGAAACTTTTTGATTTTAGATATTATTATCACTGCGAGCAATCAAGAATTGTAAGACTGCATTTCATCAGATGATATCAATGGAATAGATAAACTACTCTTTGAATGACAGTGTACTTTTATATACGTTGAACTTCTTTTTGCCGTCTGTGCTTTTGGCATTATTTTCTGTCTAGCGATAATTTGAAGCAAAATTAAGATTTTCGAAGTTTTCTTTCGTCTGTACTACCTTCATCGCACTAGATGTGCAGTTAGAATGGAGGGACTTTTAAGAAACTTTGCTACTACAATTGTTCATTAAAGGTCCGAAAAAAAAGAACTTTGAGACAAGATTTTGAACTAGGTTTTTTATTAAAAAATGCGTTTACAGTGTTTTTACTGTAAACTTACATTACATCCTATAACTGCTATACATAGAGATGATAGGACCACGGAGCATATTACAAATTGAGGGGGGTAAAACGTTGTTAGGGGGTTTAAATGATGAAAAAAGAACAGGGTTGTTTTTGTATGCGTTTTAAGTACATTTTGGAAATATTTGAAGGGGGCTCAAGGCAGCTCTCTCCACTTCTGCGGCTCTCTCCACTTCTGCGGGCTACGTAGATAAGAAATGAGCGCTTCACATCATCAAAGAACGTATGCTCAGAAATGTTTGGTGCAGAATCACTCCACACGCTCTTTGCGGATGCGGATAGAGACAGTTGCGGTGGACCAGGAGGTCGGAGCAGCTAATTTTTATGTTGTTGTTGTTGTTGTTGTTGCCGTTGTTGCTGTTGTTGTTGTAAAGTGTGAGTGTCTTGGGTAAAAATGGATGGAAGTTGGAGACTCACCACCGGCCTTATTTGCTCGTACGGATTTTTCAAAGAATTGAAGCCTTCTGAGCCATTCTTAACGCCTTACCTTAACAGCTCTTATAAACATTTAAAACTTGGAGAGCTCTCTAGTGAAGTCTATCCGATATGGACTTATTCGTACCTTGTTGTGTTGTTCGTCGTTTTCCTTGTCACAGACGCTCTAAGATACAAACCTTTGATTATAACGGAGGGCCTAGCATATTTAACTACTAGAATTCTGTTAATATGGGGAAATGACGTGCTTGCTATGCAGTTCATGCAAATGGCATATGGAATAGCAAGTGGTACAGAGATTGCCTATTACTCGTACATTTATGCACTTGTACCAACAGAACACTACCAAAAAGTGACAAGTTACCTGAGAGGAGCAGTTCTACTGGGAAGATTTATGGCCGGGTTTCTTGGACAGCTGTTGATCTCGCTAAAGTTAACTAATTACCTTGTCTTGAACTATATATCCTTAGGATCAGTTATAATTGCCTTTGTTTTGTCATTGCTGTTGCCAATGCCAAAATCAGATGGCAATGTGTTCTTACTTAATAGTGACAGAGAGGAAAGTCAGAATGGAAAGCGAACCTGCATTTCAAGATGGAGCACAAATATTCTGAGCATGTTTACTGCGTTCAAAAAGTCATATTCAAACCTCACTCTTCTCCAGTGGTCTGTTTGGTGGGCTTTGGCTATGTGTGGATACTTGCAAATTGGTAATTATATTCAAAATCTATGGGAAGAGATCCAAGGTGCTGAAAACAGTGATACGCTAAATGGTGGAGTTGAAGCTGCAGGGACACTGGGTGGGGCAGCTGTAGCTCTTACACTTTCATTTGTTGGTATTAGATGGGGTGTTGTTGGAGAGGTTCTTCTTGGTGGACTGTCAATGGTAGATGCAATTCTTTTGTTTATTATGGCCAAGTCTGGGAACATTTGGATTGCTTATGCTACATATGTTGCCTACAGGATGTCTTATACATTTCTGATCACAATTGCAAGGTAAATGTCTTATAATCAAAATTTAACATTTGCACTTCTACATGAAAACAAGCCTTTTTATCATCCTTACACATTCAAATATGACCAGACATAGTAGGAGGCAGAGGGGCAGTTGCCCATTTCTCAAAAAATTTGTTTTTTATACTGTTTTGTAAACTGCATTGAAGTAGTAGGGGATTGCACACCGGATTTAGAGGGGCAAAATTACAACCAACTTGTGCTGAACAAGTTTTGCCATACTCAATGGGAACAGACAGTTAAAATTTAAAGCTCAGCTGTTGGCCAGGCTGGAGAGTTTGCATATGCTTGCAGCAATACTGGACTTCTTTTGCTCGCACCTCGGACCTCTAGTGACCCAAAATGTCAAGGAAGTCATTATATTATACCATAGTTATATATAGAATGGGCATCATTGCTTGCAGTTGATAATGTGCCATTGGTCGCAATGACACGTTGGCAAAATTAAACATGTTTTCCAACCAGGGGTTGCTGGCTGTAGGTGAAAGGGTCTGTTTTTTGAGTCACTTGCTTGCCAAAACGTGAACTTAGATGAAATCATCAATTCTCTGCAATTCCAGGCCTAGGAATCACTGCAAAGGTGTTGTTTCATGAAGAAAAAGACAAGGATGCTGCCTCATAAGCATAGCTACTCAGCGTCCTGAAACTAACCTTTCATAAGCTTGTTAGCACTAAATCAAATCATTAAATGGATGTTTGGATCATAAAAACTGACATAACCTCTTTAAGCTTGAAAATAATTCTTCAATAGCATTGTGGCAATAAGAAGACATCCAAAAAGTAGGAATGATAGAGATATTTTGATCAAATCAAATTTTAACCAGAATTTTTAGGGGATGATTTAAAGGGAAATAAAATATTTAAAGACATTACAGCAGTAAGAAAGGATGAAATTGCCTCTTTTAACAAATAAAGAAAAAGATATGATGATAATGATGGTATAATTGGCAAAAGCATTGAAACAGATTTTCAGCTGCCCATCCAAGAGGTCCAAGCCAGCATAAAACACACTGTATCAAAGCTATGTCCTACCCAATGAAACTTTAGACTACAAAAATTTTTTCATTATAATCTCCACGTGCCATGCTCTTTTGCTGATAATGTTAGGCCAAAATGTGATGTAAATTTGATAGTTATTTGACTCATGTTTTTTCTACAGCAGGATTTCGATTCTATTCACGAACAATTTGAATTCATGGAGATAAGCTGCTATGGTAGAACAATGATAAATCCGTAAAGAACATTTCTTGTAAGAGTGATGAAGCATTTTCACAACCTAGATCACCTTTTTTGCCTGCCTTTTTATTGTATTTTACCAAAAGGGGAAATCAATTTTTCCTTTTTTTTCTTCATAATTAAATACAATCATGCAACAGAGTGCAGGATAGATCTTTGCTTTTTGACAGCTTTCAGGTTGCATTGAATGTTGGGGAGCATGCATTTGCTTTGATATTTGGCTGGAACACCTTTGTTGCTTTGGCATTGCAGTCAATCATGACTATAGTGGTTGCAGATGAGAAAGGACTCAACTTGAAAATAAGAGAACAGGTAAATATAAAGATTTGTAGATTTCTAGAAAAAAAGAGTATTTTTGTGTTCTCAATATTTTGCTTGGTTGACCTCTTGAAAAGCTGTTGAGTTGTCTGATTTTTGAAGAAACTATTGTTACTGGTCTTTTGGCGTGTGCAAAGACAATGATTTGTTTGAATGGTGTTTTGGTGCATATACTGTAGGGCATATGGGAGTGTTAGCCCTCTTCCTGCAAGGTTTTGAGGATCAATGAATGACACCAAGTTGTATCATCTCTTGAAGAAATATGTCTTAAAATTGTTTCTTATTGCTCAGTTTATAGTGTATGGTGGATATTTTCTGGCAATTGCTGCTGTGTATCTTATATTGCCACTGGCACGTTTGATAAGAAAACTGCATAACCTACTGAAGAGCCTGTGCCTTCACAAAGATGAAGAAATGGATGTGCTATCAGATTCACTTTCAGCAGAGAATGATAGGATACCATATGCTGTATAGTTTGTTTATTAACATGTTTTTTACACTGTTTCTATAACAAAGCTATGAATTAATTATGTGATCTATTAATTTTTCATTTTAATATTGTTCAAATGACGAGTTTATGTATAATAAGATAATATTTCTAAATAAATTATGTGGTTTAGAATTTCAGCAAATTTCTCTATCAATAATTATGAATGTGAACTTTATGAAAATTTGATTTGATAGTTTTATCTGTATAAATTGTTTTCGCAGTTTAACTGGGTTTTCTTACAATTAGCAGGGGCGGATCCAGAGGGGTGCGAAAGGGGCTCGAGCACCCCTCAGATTTGAGGAAAAACTTTTTGGGGATTAAAGCTTATTCTATCGCAATTTTGTTTATAATTATTTAAACCATTTATTATCTCTTTTACCGAGAAGTATGCACATCTCCTGAAATTGTTATATCCGCTTCAATGCCCCGTCTCACAACTGTTCAACATTGTTATTTCAGTCCATGCATTGAAGTGTTATCAAACTCCCCCTGGTTGTACTGTATAGCATTCTACAGACTCGGAAAGCATTGTCTCCTCTTATAACCAGCCACTTGAGGAACCCGTGGCCTGTAAATTATACGATTTTCTGCACCCGTGGAAGTGAATCTAGCCAATCACGGTGCCAGGTCGAGGGGTTCTAAACTTTGGCGCGAGAACCCATGGATTTCAAAATCCAAAACATCAAAGAATACCGACCAAACCAGGGGGAGTTTCTTCGCTTCAATCTACAGTCAAATGTATAGTGGTTTTATGACCAGGGGGAGTTAAGCTTGAACAGGGGGAGTTGAGGTTGACCAGGGGGAGTTGAATTATGATACAGCACGCGACGAATGCTTAGGTGAAGTGCAAATTTGCAATATGTTTTCGTAGGTCTTTTGACGATCTTTACCTGGTGCTCGATGCTGTAACGGCAGAACTTGTAAACGCTTTGGTTTATATAACAGAACGGTTTCAAGTTTCAACTCCGTGTTTCACGTCTTATTCATAGACCATGAGGTATGATTTATATTCAGAGGATAAAGCTTGCCCGAGCCCTTGTTATTCTTTTGTTAATCATTCAAGAACTACATACAAAACATCTCAAAAACTTGCCCTTACTATTCTTGACCAAAAGGGGTTTTCTTCTTATTCCTGCTTATATTCCTACGAATACTTTTTTCTCTAAAGATTTCAAATTCATAAAAATACTCAAAACGGCAGGCCCATTTGTTAGCGAAACGTTCAGGGCCTCATTTGTTTGGTTTGGTATCATATGTCGATGCATGCCATGCATGCTGTGTTTGAATCCCTGTGTTCAACTTTTGTCCGACTTTTTTCTATTGTTCTATTGTCTCTAATGACGTGCACTGCACTTCATGTTCAAGGGCTTCATTCCACCAGCCATGATTAAGTTCTAATAAATGGCTGCAAAGAGTCAAAAATTAAACTTTGCTTTGGAAATTTGTGGGCTCGGGCCTTTTGCCACTGCGGGCAATGATATCATATTTGACTACAGTTTCTATACTTTTGTACCCTAAGTGAATATGAGGGGGAGAGCTGCAAATTGCGTTTGGCATAAAAGCTGAAGCCAAAGTTCCAAGTTCTGATCAAAGTGTAGCAAAAAATTACTATATCAATCGCGGCATCCAGGCTTTTTAGTTTATGGAAGACTTTCATTTCATTATGGCTTATTAGCAGGGGGTACGGAGTTTGTGCATAGCAACACCCTTGGTTACCAAGCTTTACGTTTTAGCACCCCTCAGAATAATTTCTAGATCCGCCCCTGATTAGAGCTTATTTTTCTGTTAGAAATAGTGAGATTTTCTTTTCATGAAACTCTTGTCTGTATACATGATGACTCTTTGTTACAAACTTTTTGTAAGAAACTCAAATTGTTTACACAGGATGGTAAGAGACAGTCCAATTACACATCTTTATTTGCTTTAGCTGTCTGCACCAATAATTTTAGCAAAAATCGTGTTCTCAATTGTTTTTTTAGCTGCTGAAAAACTAGCAAAGCCTTTGGTTTTAAAATAATGGAATAATGCGTATAGATAAATAATATGAAGTCCATTAAGTGCTTATGGGCTAACCGAACTATGTTAGCTGCTGCCAGCAATGTTCAGAGCTACTAAGAAGACCATAGGGATTAGTGTCATTGGTTCGACCGTCGTGGCCGACGAATTCGATTTTTCTCTGCAACAGTCACTTCTTTTTTCTATTCAGTTTTTCTATTCATTTAATTTCGCCTTTGCAACTCGCGCAGCCCCGAAACCCCGAGATGCTTGAAAGATGCGTTTGCGCCACTTTGGCCTGAAGCATCTTCTTTGCTGAAGTGGTCCATTAGCATTTGTGCATTTCAAAACGATCCGCTACTAGAGCGCAGTGATCGGCAAACAACGATATGTTCCAATAAATTACTGCATTTACGTAAAGTCACTCGATGCAAAATGGAAACACAAACCAGAATGTTACATAGGAGAGGATTGTATTGAAAAGTTCATGAGCAGAATGGATGAACTGAACTCTGACTTACGTTCAGTATTGAGGAAGACGATGTCAATGAGGAAATTAACTCGTTACGAATGGACCAGGGGCGAAACTACCGGGGGGGTGTGGGGGGGTGTGACACCCCCCCAATCCAAAAAATTGTCGATTTCGCAGGGCAATCGAAGATTTCGCAGGGCGCCAAGAAAAGCTTTATTGCCACGCAGAAATGCCACCTCTGAAGTTCGTAAAGAGCCGTTTAGGAATTTTGAAATGGAAATATCGTATTTGTTATGAACCTCTCTTCCTGACATTGCATTTTAGAGAACGGAACAGGTATGTAAGGAAAAGCTCCGTTATTTGCAAAGCGAAAGCATTTCTTACCGAAAGTCATAGCCAATGGTACCCTGGGTACCAGAGCCGCAAAAATTAAAATTAAAAAATTATGAGAGTGAGAGCTTCTCTCTTTGGTCAAGATAGGAATTTTTTATCATTTTTTCTATTATCTTTTAACAGTGCATGAACTTAAAAACATAATAAATCGTTAAGATACCGATTTTGTTTCATCTAATTGCTAACTTTTTCACGTATATTTTTATTATTTTTCACGTATATTTGCATTAATTCAGTAAATCATTTTCTGTATCATTGCAATTTTTTTTATTTTGGATGTGTAAACATGGCCTTCTTGATACAAGAAACTGCACATTTCTGTTCAGGAAAAAAAAATTCTCCCAATCAAAACAACATCTTCCTCTGTCATTCACAACTACGTGGAATCTGAAACGAACGGTTGCCGTTTCTTTCCTTCCCCAACGTCTAACACTAGAGTTTTAGCATGACATCCCCCTCCCGTTTTTTCCCAATTAACAATAATATTTTCAATAAACAATCAATTCTTTTAGCACAATAGTATTTTGCTAAATTTTTGTCTGAAAGATGCTTTTTAGCCCTTTTTACAAGGTATAATTTCAAAAAATTTCTTCACGTCGGACCCAACCATGGTGGGTCCTCCTACCTCACTAAACTCGACTCTTAGCCCCACTGGGTTAAATTTCGTTGCGCTGTCTACATCATGTACACACTTCCCCCCACCCCCCAATTAGCTGTTTATTAGCTTAATTTTGCAAACCAACATTAAATGAAGTGAATATTAAAAACAATTTACGCTCGCGTAGAGAAATAGAAATTTCATAGGCAATGAAGTTTCAAGTTTGTTTTTTTTGCTTAGAAGTTTGTCCTTGGTAAAGACCAGTGTACACTGGTAAAGTTTTCACTAGTAACCTATAGACAAACCGTTGCTACGAGGTCTGCAGGGCACCACTCAGTTTTGCAGGGCAGAAACCCTTTTCACCCCCCCAAAACTATTGGCCAAGTTACGCCCCTGGAATGGACACAATACAATAGTGCGACAACATGTTATATATTTGACGATATCTGAATTTGTTTGTTTGGTGTACTTGATATGCAGTGTGGTGGTTTCCCCATAACAATCTTCATGGCATCGAGGCTAAGCTTTGGAATGTTTTTGTGTAGTGATTTCACATCTAGAGTAACCAACAACGAGTTCAGTGGGATGATAGCGTGCATATCGAAATTTTGTTGCAAAAAATGAGTTGTGTTTTTTATATGCGAAGCGCGTTTCTCTACTATAAGCCTAAAATAGTGATCAAGGTGTGAGAGAATCTATTTTACCTAGGAGAATCATAACCTGTGATAATTAGTGCGAAGCAAATTATCAAATATTTGTCAAAAGCAGAAATGCAACGCCTTAGAATGAAAAGGCAATATAAACAACGTAACAATTGGCTAACGTGAAGAAATGAAGCCATTAGAGCCTGTACACGTGATCAATATGTGGTTAAATGCGAGCTGAATCTATGGATTAGTTGCATATTTATACAATCAAATCTGTGTAATTCGATATTTCTAGGGGGTTATACAATTTTCGAATTACGAAATATTTGATTTTTCAAACATAAGAATTAGAGAGGCTTATTTTCAAGAGAGCTGAGAATTCTGTTCGAATTATAAAAATTTCAAATTAAAGAGTTCGAATTAGAAATACTGATTGGTTACTACCGATTATTCGCAATACTCTACCTTTTACCTTCTAAGGAGCAAAGACAGGGGCGCAGTGGGAGTTAACTTTTTGGGGGGGCAAAGCTGAAAATTTTCCGATAAAACTATGATTTTTCCGACAAATTTTTTCTCAATACATTCCTTGAAGATTACCCTTGCTGCATATACTACAACACTTGATGCTACAATATCACGAATGGGTCTGGAAATCGTTAACGAATGAATCGTTCGTTATACACCTTCAAGTTCAACAATAGCCTTTATTCTAACAAAACTTACCAAATATAAATCGCTATGAACAAAACTGCAACTAGTTATAAATTTACACCCTTCAAGTCTTCTCGCTATACTAGACAATAAACTGTCAAGTTAGTGTTTATAGATGTTTATAGCAAAATGTTTTTGGCAAGTTTTAAGTCGCATCATAATTACTTTGCATTTATTTATGCTAAACCTTAAATAGATATAACGCGTCCAAAAGAATAGTTTTCTTTTAACTGAATTTATATAAACTGTTACTTAAGCAGCATCTTTCTCAAAAGAGGTGTGGCAGCATACAAATCGATGATGTCACCATAGTCTATCGACTGTAAAATATCACTTTCGACGTTGATTGTTATCAGAGAGGAAAGGCGGTCTTGTCCCATCGTTGACCGTAGCCGATTTTTTTACAATCCTCAGCTTTGAAAAAGCTCTTTCATAGTTTGTTGAACCTATTGGCAAAGTGACGAGAACCTTGTAAAGAAGGACCAGCTGTGGAAAGGCACTTTGCAGGTTATACTTATCATCAACTGAAGAACTGAATGGAACTGAAAAGTTTTCTCTTTCTCCTGCAGCCGGGAGAGGGTTGCTCTTTTCTCTAACTTTCCAAAATTTACGGTAATCATTGGCGAAAGAGCTGTACTCATCTCTTAATTTTTCGTCATCCAGGCCGTAATTCTTCGCAACCTTTTTGAATTACACTGCACAGAACTGCCTTTCAATTGTTTTTTAAAAACATTCAGGGTTGAGCAAGGCAAAATCTGTCAAAATTGCCTTATGAGACGTGAATCTTGTATTCATTGAGCTGATAGCTGTATCTACTATCACGATGATATACGGATTCCCTATTTCCCTCTAATTCATCTATGCAATTTTCCCCTGACATCTTTTTCTTTCTGCGTATTCGTCGCGCGACAAAATTTTCCTCTTCTAAGTCATGGCGTTGATCATGCACTATTTTACGACAGGTTTAAAAAAATATGCGACCTTTTAGACAAGATCGATGAAAACCTTACATTTTGTCTAATATTTCAAATTTTCCGACAAACGTTGGATTTTCCGACAATCCGACAAAATTTTTGCCAGGGGGGGGGGCGGCTGCCCCCCCCTGCCCCCCCCAGCCACTGCGCCCCTGAGCAAAGATAAGACCCTACCCCTCTTAAAATTACAGCAATTAAGCCATTTCCATTCGAAAAGGCTATGTGGTAGAGGGCATGCATCCTTCGAGAAAGTGGGTTCACGTTCACTCCTGATTTATCAGCCAATACTAGAAATTTCTAAGCTACTCAGCAGCACCACTCATGAGTTTCTTATTAATAGATTCCTATCGAACAATAAGTGTATGTCCTTTGCAGCAATCATGATAATAATCATCTTGGTCTTTTGCATGCAGATCAGATTCGTAATTCGTCATCATCATCATCATCATCATCATCATCATCATCATCATCATCATCATCATCATCATCATCATCATCATCATCATCATCATCATCATCATGCATTATTATTGTTACATGTATACAAGAATTAAGCTAAATAAAGGTCATTTCGCCAGGCTATCCCGGAAAGACTAGAGCTTTTATGTTATGAAAAGTTTTAAAGTTATGAAAAGATACACAATGACTTGCAAGCAACAGCAGCAATAAAAATACATAAGTAATTTTGAAGCAGCAATGAGTACAAGAAAAACATTAAAACTATAGATTAACAACAAATAAATAATCCCGAATCATTATAACTAAACAATGATAATAAATAAACATAATAATTTATATTTTTACAGGAATTCTTGCTTAGCTGGCACAGAAGCTGCTATCAGTCAAGGTCCTGTTCGCTAATAGAGTATCAAATTTGTACAATGAGGGATATTTCGAGAAACAGTTCGGTATGTAATTGTTGTGAAGTCAATATATTTCGCAGCCCAAGCCATCATGGGGGATTCCTACTCGTCCCAGTCTTCTTACGTTATATATTCACGCCCTATATTGTAAGGTTAAGTTGTTTGAAGTAGTGAAGTTACGATAAAGTCACGCTACAAACTTATGATGGGCTAATAAGTTACGTTTACGTTATAGTTGTATATAGTCACGTTTTGTATATATTTAAAGATAAAATCAACGATATGGAGTTTCATTCACGTCTACGCTCTACCGAAGCTATGTTCAAAATAGTAATCCCTTAGAAATATTTGTAAATACTGGGCATTTAAAAAGAAAAAGATAATGAAAATGGACATGAATAACAAGCAATCAACCAATCAATCGTTACGATGAATTTATTACGATCGATCACAACACTCGATCAATCAATCAACTAGTCAATCGATCCAAAACCAAAAGTGGTTGAAGATCACTGGAAGGTACCAATGTACTTCCAGGTTTTGGCTGTGCTTGCGATCGCGTACGCAACTCAGTGACGGTTTTAAGGGGGGGTCCAGGAGGGCCATGGCCCCAGGCTCGCTCATGGTAGCCAAAAGGGGTCCTACACCCAAGAAAAAAGATAGAAATTGAAAGAACAAGGGCCCCACAGACGTTTCTGGCCCCGGGGCCCGCAGTCCCTAAATCCGCTGCTGACGCAACTAGGTCCAATTTCTTCCGACACCATGGCTGCCCTACCAAGAGTAGAATCAAAACATCTCTTCAACTATTGCTTAACTGGGATATACGATGAAGAAGTCGCGGCTGAACATGCGAAAGCAATGCAGATATTTACGAGTGATAAGTCAAACAAAGCATTGTTAAACCCAGCGAAGTTGGATTGTCAAGAAATGTCCTCTGTCATGAGACGTTATGTAACCAAACTGTTCACGGAGCTTGGAGAGCATCCTAGTCTTGTTGAAGCTGTGGAAGGGTGTACACACACGAATTTCGAAGTGCCACCTAGAGATGGAAACGATTATTCAGTGCCTGTTCTGGTACATACTCCGATGTATTTAGCAGGGCAGAACGACAGCAAAAAAGGGAATGCTGCGATGATTTACGCCCATGGAGGTGGGGTCGTAAGCGGAACTGCGGAAGAGTTCAAACCCTGGTTATCTGATATTGCAGTCAAGACCGGAATCGTAGTCTTCAATGTGGACTATCGACTGGCACCAGAGACCAAATGCCCGAAAAATGCCCTTGATTTTTACTGTGCAGTGAAACATGTAATCGAGAATGCCTCAGATTTAGGTATTGATCCAGACAGAATTAGCATTTGTGGAGCCAGTGGTGGTGGGTACATTGTCATGGCTGCTATGGTCATGCTTGCACAAAAGGACGAAGGACACTTAATTAAACTGGCTTTACCATGCATACCCATGATAGATGACTATGAATTTGGAGACACCAACAGCATGACCAAAGAAGAGAGGGAAAATTTTGCAGGGATGCGAAAGGTTTGGGAATGCTTAGCCACTGACCTTGAAGAGCAGAGAAAGAATTCTGATCCATTGCTGTTTCCAGCTAAGGCGCCGGATGAGCTGCTTGCAAAGATGCCACCAACCATCATATGGGAAGTTGAATTTGATTTTTTCATCACAGCAGCTACAAGAATGGCCAATAGATTGCGGGCTGCAGGGCGCCTCCTAGAATTTTATGTTGCCCCAGGGGTAACACATGGTGGAGATATCAATCCAAATTTGAAAGTGTATCACAGAAACATCAAGGACATAAAGTTGGCCCTGGAAGCCTATTTGTTCTAGTGCCTTCTGGTGCCAAAAGTTTTGTTTCAGACCTTCTCTTGCAAGATTATCCTTAAGTTAAACCAGCCTATGCATAAGTAAAATGGGTAATGTTGAATAAAATTCATCTTTACTAATTCACAGTTGATCTTAAAACAGAAAATCCTCTCTTTCTTCTACCTTTCTTAAAGTTTTTCATTAATGATGAAATTTAGGCCTACCAAAACAACAGCAGGCAAAACATTTTTTCGAACAACAAGGCATTTTTCTTTCCAAAATACTATAGAGTACCGAAGTGTGACGTCATCAAAAATCTATTTTTAGAATTTCTTAAATTTGATCCCATAATCTGAAAGAACGGCATAAAATACCTCTCAATGTGCAAAATTAGCTAGATACGTTCCAAATTGAGCGAGATATGGCCAACAGAAGATTTAAAGTTTGCTAACGGATTTCTGTTATTCTGGCCTGGTTCATAAAGTTATGAACCAAGACCAAATTACAGAGGTTTGATGGGGCAAGAGCCTGTGCTCAAGTGGCCATATCTCAACCAATTCGTAATGCCTTTAACTGATTTTGCATATTTAGAGGTATTTTATTACGCTATTTCAGATTCTGGGATCAAAATTCAGAAATTCTAAAAATAGATATTTATGACGTCATCACTTCGGTACTCTATTCTGATTGTAATGTCATATTGGGTCATTTTACTGGGCAAATATAATTCTGTTCACCCATTCAAAATAATCCAAAATTTATATTTGGTGGTTGCTATGGAGCGTCGTTTGTGCCTATATTACAATTCTACTTTTTGTAGAGTGTTCAATGATTTCACATGCCTTTCACCCCCATCTTACATGGTCTTAAACTAAATACTAATGACATTATGTTATCCTACGGCATTTAAATCCCCAGTCTAACATTTTGTGTGGCTTTTCAAATTTTAGCTAGCATATCAATATCATGTTCCCACTTGTTCATTCTGCGTGGCATAACTTATCATATGACTTTATTTTACTCCGATTGGCGTTTCAAATTTCATATGACATGATGCATTGCGGCATGATGTCATGCATTGCGCGTTGGTGGGAAAATCAAAGAACATGAGTCACGTTAACCGGAGGATGGCTGAGCTGAACTGAACTTCTAGGTGGCGAGCAGCATCGCGGAGAAAGTGTAGATTGTGAAGATGACTCAGTTGTTAGAGGCGCTGACTATAAACCAGAAGGGTCCGTGGTTCGAGTCACTGGTGTGACCAAGCTTTCCCCCAGAGTGGGGAGAGGAATCACAAGGTGTGATCACATCGAGAGGAAGGACACTGCTCAATAAGCATAAGCTTCTCAGTGTCAAAAACTATCTTCGGATGCTAGGTAATAGCAAATACAAGTCACCAACAACAGTGGCGTCGCCAGCTCGAAAAAACTGGGGTGGACGAAAATAAATGTTCTTGGCCACGCCCTTCAGACTCTTGGAAAAGCCTTTTTAGTATTTTTTATCTATTTCGAAATATTTTGGCAAGCAACTTTCTCAAGCAACATTTTTCGTAACGGTGGCTCGAAATCGATCTGATCAGACCAACTCCCCCCTCTCCCAAAGGTTTTTCAACAAGATGTAACGAATAGTTTATACGCTTGCTATTCGAAAGCCATGAAAGACTTTGACAGAGACAGGGACATTGACATTTCTTGAAATTTCGATAACGTGTACACATCTTTCATGAACTTTGAAAAATTTTTCACACGATCTTTATTACCTGTTTTTGGGAAAAAGAAAACATTGTTTAAAGTTTGTTTTCATCTTTCTTTGTTTGGCAAATTTTTCATTATGTACAAAATCCCGCCCTTAGATAAACACCGCATCCAAAAGTTGGATTTTGTAATAAACGCCGCGGTGTTCTTAAGAACCTGCGACTACAATTCTCCGACAACTGAATTGTCGACTGTTTGGCATGATTCCCTTAAAGATTTATTATGTACGCGAAGTCAGTACCTAGGCCAAAACGTGACTAATCTTCCTTGATTTTCCCGCCAACGTGCAATGCATTGTAATATAGACACAAATGACGTTCCTTAGGTTGCTCCCAGCAAGAGTTTAGTGCCAGAATTACCAATTTCTGTGCTGAATTTGCAAAAAATTCAGACAGCTCAGTTTCAAAGTTACAAATTGTTAAATTGTTCGAAGTGAAATTTTACAGACTAAAGCAAACTTTTCATTTTGTGTCCATATCACAAGGCTTACAATTTTACTTTTTTTTCTGAGAATATTTCGAATCCCATGACTGGGGAGGATCAACATGGTCGCAGCGAAAATCAACAGCCAGGGGCTTTAATCTGGCATGACTTCTCCAACAACTTTTGCACACCTTTAAAAACTGGAAATTTTGTGCACCAAATAGATGCATTTGAGAGGTTCTATGCACCAAAACCTAACTGTACGTCTGTGTTTATATATACAGTTCCCAAAAGAATTCTCCCAAGTCCTTGGTTGCCTTCATAAGTTTTGATTCTTTCCCTTTTTATGGAGTAGAACTACCTGATTTCTTCTCTTGCAATCCGCATGTCACGTACACTTGGCTCACGCACACGTGTCATGCTAATTGTGACTTACTGGGTGTTCTCTTTCATGTCATATTCGTGTTATGTTCTTGTGTTTCCAAAAAGTAGCTCTTTGCATAAAAAAAATTTTGAGCACTCGACCTAACAATGCTCTACACCCTTTTTATAAGAACCAATAAACTGACATTCTAGCTGGTTGTTCTTAATTTTTCCAAAGCTTTGATGGATGATTGTTCTTAACTTGTTTTTAAAGTATAAACCTGTAAGCAGTGGATTCGCTAGCTATTGTGCTCAAAGGTGTTCAGGCCCCATTTGCCAACAAAGTGAGCCATCCTTTATTCACCCCCTAGATGGCAGAAAACTCCTCGTTTTTGAGAAAAAAAATTTCACAGCTTTGTTTAAGATTACATTTTGCAGTACCTCAGTCTCAGCTTGTTCTTAATTTGTTCTTAACTTTTAACCGATTTTAAGGCACTTAAAAAATTGTCCTTATAAAAAAGAGTGTGTATCTTGATTTTTGTACCGTAAATGGTGTGGAGCTAGCCATTTTACCCTGTGAACAAAAATTCTCTGGCTTTGCTCCTCCCAATTGTATCTTCGGTTGTGATATGCATGCTTCAAGTGGATCGTTATCTGTCGTTTAACGTGTTAGGATTCGCCTTAAACAGCTAAAGTGCTAAACTTTACGCAGTTATTTGTCATTCTATTACAGAAATAGTTGCAGTTAATAAGCGAATGTTTTGAATGACCATTCCATATTGATTCCAGTCAAAAACACGATTTCGTTGCCACCTAAAGTTGTGAATATACCTGTACTGTAAACAATCACAAGAAATCCTTTGCCAGCACAATTATCTGCTCCCTGTCAGCATTCGCTGGATTTTGATGAAAGTAGAGCTGGGGCGTCAACTTCATATCACAACAACGAACATCACAAACAAACTTTACTATCAAAGCAAAGAAATGCCAAGTACCGGAAAATCGAAATTAGAAGAAAGATATTGCCTTTATTCGGTCGACAGACAGGTTTGATTCGCGTTTTCTCTTTTCTTAGAACTGTTCAGTTTCATTTAGAACCATTCTTTCTGTAATACTGGTTGGTTGGTAGGGGAGGGGTGGTTGGTAGGGGAATTTTATAAAAAATATTTGTGATACTGTCACAGGTCCTGACTGCTGGACAACATTGCAGAATATGACCTCTCTTGCCTCAACCGCAAGGCAATGAAATTCAACAAACACATCAATCAATAACTGACTCGTGTTGCAAGCAGTCGACTGGTTTTGAGAAGCGACCGTTTAGAGAATCGTTGTTGATTCTATTTTAAATTTGATTGAGAACCTAACCAATTTTACTTTGGATTCTGCTAAGATTATTGCAAGGACCCAAAATGTAATTTAACTGATAATAACAATGTTTAATTTAATCAAAGTTACGACCTAGAATTTTCGCACAGGTCACTTTAGCAAACCTTCCCATGCCTAGTAAACAGATTAGTTTTCTGTTGTCTCGCAGTCCCATAGAACATTGTAGCCAATTTTTTTGTTTCGTGAAATGGCTTGTAAATTGCGCACTTGGGCCAAGCACTTGCAAAACCAGTTTGCTTTTCTATTTTGTGTCTTAATACAGATAATAGACGAAAAGATTTAAGAATTCTGCATCAGATGATCTAACTTAAAAGGATCGATTCAGTAGTGGTAGACAGAAGCAGTTCGTCTTCTCTCTTGGACTCCAGCGGTAATTTTCCTATAGGCAGGCGGTAGCGGTACTGATTGGATAACTATACCGGTCATGTGCTCGCGTTTTACTGATTGGCCTATTTTGATCCACAACTGGGTATATAGTATTTTCTATCTTGGTCCTTCGGAACCTTATTCTGATGTTTTATACTCTGAGTAGTGCCAGTCGAGAAAGCTTTAGTAGTATGTTGTGAAATGTTTGTTTTTGTCAAAGCCATTTTCAAAGTACCGATCAAAATGCTATTACAAAAACTTATAAGTGACTGTTATAAACCTTTGATCTCATCTGCCAAGGGGTAAAAGAAGCCGATTGCTAGGTTCCATGCGTGCAAGCGAACTTGAGAAGGCGTTTTTTGAAGTTCTGTGCTTAATTTCTAAATGTAGTTATTTAATAAAGGACTCTTGATAAACTCTTTCTCCAAAGCTATAAGCTATGTTCTCCTGCATGCAGAACGTCTGTTATAATCAGTATCCAAACATGCAGATCCAAATTTGAGCTGATTGGCTGTCAACTTTCCATGAGTGAATACCAGGGTCACATTTAGCATTTTAATTGCATTTACACCAGATTAAAACGACTAAAGTCGGATTGAACGATCTACGAAAATATTTACTTGCAATCCCACCATTAAGTAGGACAATGCAATACTTGAACTTTTTGTGACAAATTCGTTTAAAAGCGTATGCTTGTACAATGTTAGGGCACGAGCCCACCTTGGTTATTTTAGAGGGGACTCAGCTTCCTCTGGCGGCTTTTAACGAAGATCTTTTGGGAACATCAATCAAGCAGCAGTATATAAAAACGCTTCTATAGATGAAAAACTTCCCTCGCAAATTTGAAGCGGCTCGAGTCCTTTTGGCCCTTAATTTTCATCCTCCTTAAATTCAGGTATCTATCCCCTACTACGTTCTTGTCTTTTTTCATATTATCAGGCTCAGCTTTTTTACGACTAGTGGTAGCATATAAAGACATGTCACATACCATAAAAAAACAAAAGACTAGATTCTTAACGATGCTTTTAATGCAATATATAACTCCAGCTCAACCAAAGCTTAAATTTAGCGATCGGCATAGTGTAACAAACTCACCCTTTTTATCCTGATATCCCCTTGCTTGCATGGATTACAACGTACTGTATATGTTATTAGAAACTCTACACGTGCCTAGAAAAGAGTCCTTCAAAAACCCCTATTTGTCTGATGCTCTTAAGAAAGACACCCTTGCCACGCCCACACGCTACGTCCGTTACTCGGCAAACTTACCGCTACTCGCATTTCGCAAAATTACAGCTCAGTTTCTATGCTATAACAAAGTCCTCTAAGGATTCCAATCTATTTTTGTCATTTCTTCTGTAGTAGGAAACTTAAATTTAATCGACTGGTAACAGGCCTAAAATTGATCTGGTGCCAAGTCCTCGCACAAACATGCACTGGCGTTGCAACGTTCAGTGCTATTAAAATCTTTCAGTGTATTTGTGTCTCTGAAAGTATTTGTTCGATAATGCTAGCAATACAAAAATATTACCACTTGGTTTTCTGTTTACTCGATAGAAATCTTGTGGCTCTGGTACACAGGGTAGGGGAATGGATAAGGATTTGATTGTCCTGTATTTCGTGTGTCTCAGACGACCCTCCGCTTCTCCGCTCCTCACTTTTATCTCCGCGTTTTAAAATTTTATGGCTTTGGTGCCCAGGCTAGTTTTGATCGCACAAGAAGGACTAATTAGATACTAAGGTGTGCCATCCCCTATATTTATTGCCTTTTTTGCAACTTTGGGCAGCTGATGCGGCCTTTGACGTTGTCAAGTATTTGAATGTATGTAGGAATTTCGAATCAGTTTAGGTCATTAACAGAATGCTTCCTTCCCAGGCGGGGTTCGTACGGCTGTGAATGGTAAGATGCAAAGAAGTTTTCGTGAAAACAAATATATGAGAAGCAAGCCATACACTAATTTTTTGACTGGTTGACTGTTTGGGAGCTTAATCTCTTACTTTTGCTTATATCTAATTACTTACATCATACCTCATTTTACATACCTCATAACCACGGGCGGACTGGCCGTTCGGTCTACCGGGCGATCGAGATATTTAGATACGGAATGAATAAGAATATCACTTTGAGTACTGAAATCGGTATCTAAGTACTGAAAAAGACATTTTCCAGAATTTGGGGCCCCATGTAAGCACGCAGTATTCTGGGTCCAGGGCTCCCTGTTCCTAATGCAATAATACGATACTTAATCGAAGTTCCAAAACCAGAAAAAATTTCTCATCGGGCCCTCAGTTTCAATGTTTGCGAGGATATGACAGATTTTTGAATCGATTTCAAAAAAGGTAGAATACTTTAATGCTAACCAGATAGATTTGAGAATAAACATCAAAACAGCGGAGGGCTCAGACCCCTCCTTGCATGTTCTTCGGTCAGACAAGAATCGTGTAACGCATAGACAGCTGGGACAAAATTTTTGCTCCACCACACGTCTGCCATTGTAAACTGAACAAGGAAAGGAGACGATATGCAACTGGAAGACAAAGATGCATTACAAGCTTTATACTCATAGAAATGTAGACATAGTTTGACATTTAAACAAAGAATAGAATGACTCTACTTTTGAAGATATCTTACTGAGAACTGTCTTCTACAGGCTATACATAGTTTTTTATTGTTGCATTTAGAACTTTGCTTAAAGTAATTTGTGTCGGAAATGTTGCGCTTGTCGCTATAAGTTGAGATTATGATCTTGGTTTGTCGGTAATTGTGAACAAATTATCATCAGGGACGTCATTTCATAGAATTACTTGAAAAGTTTAAGGAGATTTAAGGAGGCTTACGCGAACACATTTCACTGGTCAAAAACTGTCATCTTTAGCCACAAATAAGGGTGCAAGGAAGAGAAAGCTAAAGCTGTAGCCTTTTCTACATGCTCATTCGAGAAGGAAATCTTCGCAGAACATCTTTAAGACATTGCTTGTTTTTGTTGTACTTCAAACCTTTTTCCAATTCCTTCTATTTTTGCCCAGTTTTGTTTTGTTTCAGTTCAGATTATCCTAGAGTCAGCTGCTTTGATTCTGACTCTCCACATTCGCATCGCTTGCACTTTTCCAACTCATTACTCATCGTTAAAATGTTGTTCCTCGTAGTCATGCGTTGTTAAACGCTTAAAGTTTACTATAAAATCAACTCCAACTTCCTTCCTATTGTAATGTCAAAATCAAACCTCTTTGAACCATAGGGATTATTGTAAAAGAAACCTAACAGGAATTGCCTAGGAGCCTCCTCTAGTCAAAATTGATGTTTAGTTGTAAATATTTTAGATGCATTCTCTGCCCAATCCCTATAATGTCACATTCCAAACTTTTTCTTGAATTCGGCCAAAATTCCTAACTATGGTGGTGACCTCTAGTAAACCCCGGAGCAATCTAAACACGCCAGCCCTGCCTATGCTAGATATAATGTAAATTAAGTATAACAGATGTTGCTAATGTATTCCTTGCAAAGATCACAAGTACAATTGAACGATGAAAATTTGGAGGTTTTTCTTGAATATTTGTAAAGTTGTTGAGTATTTTATTTCGTTTGGAACTGAGTCCCATATTTGGCTACATTTGTATGATACGGTATTAAATCCAGTTCTTTTTTAATGTGGCTTCACTGTGATGAATCTGGCGTTTCTTAAGTTATGTGGTATAAATTAAGGAAAACTAAAAGCAGTATTCCAATAGCCTTTTAGGCCAGCCTTAAAAATGTTGCCACAAATAATACCCGTAAACTTAATCTGAATTTCGGGGCCCCTTTCTCGACGAATTTGCCCGGGCCCTAAATTTGGAGCCAGTCCGCCCCTGCTCATAATGTAAATTGGTTTCTAAATACGGCAGGTTCCGAGCTAAATGTTCGGCAAAACTTCAGAATGACACAACAAATAAACACAGATATAGTTTTCTCAAACGTATATCGTTGTACGACTTGTACCACTAAGCCTTTCACAAGAGCGAAGTGTACGTGCTCACAATGCTAGCTCTAACTCTTAACTAACTCAGGATTCGTAGAGAACGATATATATATGTTAAACTAGTTCCTTGTACAAATAAAAAATGTAAATGTGCTAATCTTAGGTGTCTACATAAGAGGAAAAACAAGCTAGAAAAACAATAGGAATGTGTCTAGATACTTATGTATAAGCTGAGTCAATCCGTAGTGTAGTTCTTAAAATAATACTATAATAGAGGGTGGGTTTCCTTAGTGAAAGTGTTCCTACTAGTATACGCAATGCAACAAAGAGTGCGATGCAAGTTGACGCAAAAGAGTATGCACAAACAAGTATGACTAACGCTGGGAGAGTGGCTGAATGGGGCGAAGGAAATGCGCAAACGAGGCAGGTAAGAGCGAGGCTTAGCGCTTCGAGTAGCGGTATTACAATAACCTCAAATTCAGGGGCGTTGTGGCTCCCAGAAAAGGGCTGGAAGAAAATGATCATAAGAGAGCCAGCTCTTTTGTATGATATCACAAACCACAGGTCACCCTGTTTGTATATGTTGACTTCTGAGACTCTAATTCTAAACTATGTACTTGTACATGTAAGTGAGGGATTTTTTCATCAAGGATTTTGTTCACTTAAAATATTTTCCTGGGTTTTACAAACCCACTTGAAAGAGGTCCACCGAGAAATCACCCGGTGTCCCGCCTAGCCACAACGCCCCTGTTTTAATTTGAGTACCACGTTTCTTGATTATATGGGCGTTCTGAAAAAGCACCCATTTCACACTTTCTGACCTTTGGAGGTGTCGCGCAAGTTTGTTGTAGCCCTATGCAGTCGATTGAATGAGTGTTTTTCTTTTTCATATTCCAATAAAAATTTACAATACAAACTTACTAGTTACACTACCTACCAAGTACTTGACGACACTACAAGGACGATGCCACTGGGAGCAAAATCTATGACTACTCCGTGGCATCGTGAAAAACTAAGACAACTTACATACGAATTACCAAAGGAAAAAACAAAGAACACTACACTCTCTCTCTCCATTTACAAGGCGAAAAATGTTAGCGAATGACAGCAGACAAGACGTTTGCTGCAGTTTAAGAAATTTTGTGGTATCAAAGATCTCACCTCATATATAATTCGAGACAGACTTTACATATGATAGTTAACTAAATAGTTGTTGGCCTACTAGGGGGAAGCGGGGCGAGATTTGCATATCCATATGGTCGTAAAAGAGTGTATATTCCAGCGAGGAGGTCATTCCTCTGAACACTAAAAGAGGGTGTTCAAATGAATATTTTCCCACTACAGTATCAAAGTTCCCGCATCAGAAGATTTGAATTAATTTGACAAATGTCACACCAATAAGCACGAGCCCAAAGTAGGGGGACTAACCGCTGCAAATGAATGGGGGGTAAGGACTTTAGGAGTGACTTAAAAGACTAGTGACACCCGATGATGAGCCGACAGGTCTGTCCGTCCTGATTTGCCAAACGATCGATTCAACACGAAATTTCACTGAATCTCAACCACTACATACTCTCCTCCGTAGAGGCTATTGGTGAGGGAGTCCCTTCCCCAATACCCTCTGCGGAGGAGAGTAGCCACTACATAGCTAATTATAATTTACTTAATTTAGAATTAAAGTAATTTCGTTAGATTTACATTTCAATCTGGCGGGTGGGGCTGCGTAACCCCTGTGATATCCCGTGTCAACTAGCGAATTATCATAAATACATGCGCGCATTTCGGGATTCGGAAGATATATATACCAAATTACCAATGAAGATCGCAAGGTGAAATTCAACGTCCGCAGTTTGCGAGATAACAGATCGGGTGTCGATAAAACTGACAAAGAATCTCGAAATTTTATTTAATGCCAATTTCACCTGCCGACTACTACGAGCAAGCGTAGGACACTTCGAGCGCTCTCGTTTCCAAATCAATATTTTTCAATCACTGCCGAGAAACGATTTGGATTAGCAGGAATTTTGGTTTTATTAATTGCCTGCACGTTTGTTCGGAAATAAATGGGACATCAGCCTCCTGAGGGTTGATAACATCTGCAAGAGAAGTTTTCTGACAATATTCATTGAATTTCTAAATTATTGTTAAGCCTGACCGGGTTGGCAAACAAGTTGGCTTGGTTGTGAAAACATAATATAGACCGTTTGCACAAGGCCTGTGTTGATAACACGGGGCAAATTTTTCCGTTCATTTGAGTATGGAGAAAGTTTCAAGAGTGCTGCGAGAGAGTTACGGTCGTGGCGTGAGTATACCACAATATGCTAGAGTTTTGGATTTTTCATTGAGAAGTATTGTGATTAAAGTTGTTTTAATACTGGAGAGCTGTCATCTGTTTACGCGAGATGGTTTTAGAGTTTCTATGGTCTGTTTAAAGGTTAAATTTTTCTTAGAACACTTCAGACCTTTTTGGAAAGTTCGATATGTGATCTGTCTTTCACAGTTTTTATTCAAATCATAGTCATGGTTATACGAATTCAAGTTCGATGTTTGGTATTTATAACCAAGTGTTTACCTATAAAAGGTTCGGCCTGTGGGTTAAATGACTGATATAGAGATATTTGAAGCATTCAAAGTCATCCAGTTTTATTGACACTCATTGAACCTGGTGAAGTTGCCTGTTGCACATCCGTTAATTATTTTAAAAAGGTCCCTGTTAACTGAAATTTTTTACGAGCAATCTTTACACTTATTCCTCTGAGAAAAAATAATTTCTACAAAGTTATTAGCAGAATATTAGGATTTGGCGGACACACGAAGCGACAAATGCGTGGCCCTCTCGATTTCATCATATCGTTGCTAGATAAATCTGGATTCGTATTTTTAGCAAGATGCTTTGTTAAGTAAATCTTTGCATTAATATTCATGCCGAAATGCTGATCTTTGCTTTTGAGTTACCCGACAACAAAAGCAGAACTTGTAACCAACCAGCGATAAAACTTATACTTTTTGAGAACGGTAGTAAAAAGAGACAGGATATTACTATCATTGTTCAAGTAGAACTTGGGTGACAGGTCGTAGATCTAAGAGCTTTTTAATTGAAGTTTCTATTCTGTCGTTATATGTAATGTATGGACGTTAGGTAAAGGAGCAACAAGCGAAGGAGGAATGGCTGAAGTGATCGTCCCCTCCCCTTGAGAAAGTTGTTAAATTCTTTGGATTTATTATTATTTTGCCCTGCTGATTATTGACTTGGCCTCCTCCTTCTGTAAAGAGCTCCCGATGATCCTTACCGGGGATTTAAAGGATGCGCCTATCTATCTAAAACTCTTTCATGAAACACCGTTCTATTTTGAGAAGCCATCCCTAAGCATCAACCATTCGAGAGGGTACAAGGGTAATCCAAATGTAAGCCTTATTCCAAATCAGATGTATTAGAGCATTAAAGATAAACAGTTTATCTGTAGACCAAACGCAAGATCAAACGAATTAACAGATAAACGTGTCTAATCAGAACATTTAGAAATATCACCACGTGTCAGCATCTTAATAATCGTTATAATCATCATGATCGAAACCAAATTCAGATCCAAATCATGATCAAGATCAAAGGAGCAACACCGTAACACTCTCAGTCCCGGGTCAGCAACCCAGACATGCTACATCATAAGGGCCACGGTCCATCCATAATATTTCAATGTCCTTGAACACTCTTACAAATTAATTCGATATATATTAAGCAACTAACAAAAGGCCATAGTCTTTCTTTTTATCTTGTACGATACTTTCTATAACGTCGTTACAATATCTTTTTGTTTTGTAAAGGGAACTGAAACCACGAAGCATTATGCTCCCACGCACATAAATGGTTTCACTCATATTCTTTGGTAAAAACGCCTTCCATTATTGGAGCAAGAGCGGTTTAGTCACCGCAAGGCATGCGTAAACAACCTGTGGAAATATTTACATTTGAAACCTCTATGACGGCTACCTGATAAATTTACTGCCTTTGCTTTGATACCTGTTATTAGGATTCTGATTTACATCTAGGCATTGCTAATCGTTGTGCATGTTTCTTGTTTTTCTAAGGAATCAGCAGAGGCCTATGATGCAGATGTTTGAACTAAACAGAGAAAATGAAATATACGTCAATGAAACGATATGATAATCTTTTCTTCTTTTATCTTGTATAGTGAAAATACCGTGGCTGTCTTTAGGCCATGAAGCTAGTGGAATTTCTTGCAAAACAAACATCTGTATTGAATACAGTTGAATACAGAACTGTCAATAAAAAATGCAAAGAAAAGCCTTATTCATTGACCTAGACTAGCACAGAGCGTTAATTCAGATTGCAATTATCGTTGGCTCAAGAGTGGGGTCTGATGTACAAGTATAGTTTCTTGCTTCTCTATTCTTCAGAAGAAAACACTTCTGTATTTCTAGGCTCCAGGCTACAATATTTTCTAACTCTGTCGAAATAAAAAAATCACATTTCCTGGTGACCATGATGGCGGGGACAGATGCTCAAGTTATCGTCTAAAATCAAGGCAAACAATTTCAGAAGTTTTGTCTCCCTTTTGTGACTACCTTTCATAAATCAATGTATACATGATTAATTTAGCATTTATTAAATTTTAGTAATTTCGATCCCTTAATGCAGATGATGGAGTACTTAACCTTGGTTTGTTGGTGTTTATACCGCGTTCAACCCCCATAAATCTAAGCTAAAAAGTATCCAAGTCGAGATTCAAGCCCACAGCGGATCCTGACAATCTTCTTAAATGCACTCGTGGTTTAAGGAGTTGCGAATGAATTTTATAGCCACAGCAGCAGAACATGATGTACCCTCCTACTAATCTCAATTCTCTTTTCTATTTCGTATTCTTTTTATGATTATATTCATCAAAGCCGTCTCTGATCTTCGTTGCGTTCAAAACTTCCTTTTTCCGCCTTGTTTTGCATTTTTTATTTCTTAGCATTCTTTTTATTTGACATCGAGATTCAATTCGGTTCGAAATCATCTTAATCCAACTGTATCTTTAACCTACTTTTACGTAAGTATTCCGTAAGACTCAGCCTCATCCCCCTAATTGTAGTTCAGTGGCGAACATATGGTGCTTACACTCGGGGCTGCGCCTTCAGAAATAAGGCCTTCCTAACCAAGGGTAAAAAAGGGGTTTCAGTATCTAAAATGATTGACAATGGTAATATTACATGCTATGAGAGCGTCCTGAATGGAGCAAAGCTAAAACCTCGACTCGAAAAGGGACTAAATTCTAATTTTTTCTGCAGGACACCACCTACTCCAATGGCTTTGGTGCTTCTATGTCAAGGCTAAGAGAACGGCTCTTTCAGGTAGGAAAAGTTCTTTCACATAAAAATTGTGATGCCTACTTTTCATAGATGTAGGAAGCATTGCATAAGTTGGGGAGGTACATAGTCAAAATAGGAGCACGTCTGTAAACTACTTTGCTCTACCACTGTTTCGGAAAAGTGGGGGACACGTGTCCCCTGTGCCCTCATTGTTTCTACGCCTATGGCACTCCTAAAAGGGAAAATAGCTGAATGTTATTCAAATTACTAATAAATACCTATTAACTGTCTTCTGACATTTCACCATGAAGCTTGCCTCACTTTTGCCTTAAAAACAAATTTTCTCTTTACAGATGTGTGACGTTTTTGAGTACATTGTAAAGTTGGACGATGCCAAGGAATCCAGAATTTACGGCAGAGATGTGCTGAATTCAACTGCCAAACGAATTTTGGACTTGGTAAAGATTTTGCTTTATGCTGTCTTTTTCACTAAACCATATTTGACCTAACCCATAATAAAGTACACTTTTGAATTATTGAATAAAATTGAAAATTTAAATCAAAGACGTCTGTGAAATGATGGCTATTCCAATTCCTTTAAATTTTTGCATTTTTAATTTCATATGCCTAGTTGTATCAGCGATCTCCTTTCATTTCACAAAGGATACTATGTTGTAGAGTATCAACAATAGACTACGGGTTACTTCAAGACCATAAACGAGAAACACTATCTTCTTCATAACTTTCCCATAATTCCGAATAGTTTTTCACAAATGTTACAAAATAAATTTACGGGCTCATATTTACCATAACAGTGCAATGGTATAATGGTAGCATTTACTGTCTTTTCGAAATTTTACTGCCTCTTCACAAAATGTTAATGCCTTTTCGATTTGAGACTATTCAAATGTTAAAACATCTACTTATTTGTCACTAGACTGCAAGGATTTCAGTTTACAAATATTCTTATTTACAAAACTTCACCATATTCTCTCACAGGAAGCTGAATTTCTAGGCTCGTTGGCGGAAAACCTTAAGGTTGGTATTTAGATCTGAGAATAAATAAGTAAGTAAGCCGCTTTTCGCTTTTAAAGATTGCTACAGGCACAGACGAGTATAAAGATGTGTATTCTTTGAATTTGAAAAGATATTGAAAAGGTAGAGTTGAAGAAAATTTGAAAATGTTCCCATATTTCTGTCTTTGCTGTTGAGCAATTGCTATTGGTAAGCCATCCTATTGGTAAGCCACTCTGTTGATAAGCCACTCTATTGGTAAGCCACTCTATTGGTTAGCCACTCTGTTGATGAGCCACTCTATTGGTGAGCCACTCTATTGGTAAGCCACTCTGTTGATGAGCCACTCTATTGGTAAGCCACTCTATTGGTAAGCCACTCTATTGGTAAGCCACTTGTGCAACCTATAAGATATTAGTAGTAGATTTCAAATGTTACAAATTACTTGAGGTAGACTAGAAAAAGGTGCAAACATTTTTGCATCAGTTGGCCAGCCCCGTTTTCCAAGCAATTCACGAAAACCATTATATGAAAAGGCTGTTTCTTAGGGTTTTGAATTAAAAATCCATGCTAACTTAAGCATATTCGAATTTTGTGTTACAGAATATGGCAGACCCAAACTTGCCTTCCGAGGTCGACCAAAACAACGTGTCGGAGACCGGTAAGCAAATTAATTTCAACTTGTTCTAGTCTATCTTCATAATCCAACTGTTGAACAAAGAGGAGGTGAGAAAGGAGACCTTTTCAAATCACAGCTTTATATGATTTTCACATGAAATTTTCAGCCGTTTTTACTCCTTGCATCGTGTAGGCAATTGATAAGAATCAAACTTCCATACCAATTTAAATTAAAGTTAACATGAAAGCCTCACTTGATGTCTTCTGTTCCCACAGTTGTTATTTATGCAAAATTAACACAAGCCATTTTAGACGAAATCAAAGACTTCAAACGGGATATAATCTACGAACTCCAGGTATATGCTATTCTTTATGTTTAAATTTTTTTCAGCAGTCACCCAATTTTGGTTGTTTATACTTTTTGTAAATAAAGATGTCCTTTATCTCCTTATCCCCTCTACTCATCCATTGATGTCACACAGTGAACGAATTAAAATGATTTCTACTTTATTTCAAAGTACAGTTTGGTACTATTCATATTCTTTATTATTCAAATTTGTGCATAAATCAACATAGCAACAAGCATATGCAGCAACCTTTTTACAGAGCACTTTTGATGTTGCAAAGAACTCTAGGCCAGTTTCAAGTTTTTTAATGTTTGCTTCTCGATTTTTTAAGGAAAAGACAAAGGCCGAGAAGAAACTGTCGGCTGAGAATATTTCGCTGCGAGGTAATGAGCCTGAACCATTATGGGCTTGGTGTATATGCGCCAGATTGGTTCCCTCTACTGCCATATTTCAACTATGGCAGCAATTTTTGCTACTGAACGTGGGCTCCGACACAGGTTGAAAGGTGGGGGGAGGGGGTCAAGGAAAAATTTTAACACCCAAAACAAAGATTTTGTAAAATATTATATTTGCAATAAAGTGGGGGCATGGCATGGCCCCTCAGCCCCCTTTTGTCGGAGCCCCTGCTGAAGCCTGATATTATAGTAGTACCCAACCCTTTCTTTCCAAGAAAAAATGTGACTCCAGTGACATGAAGATAATGAATTATTTTGTTTTAGTTGACCTTCAGCGAGAACAAGCTGAATCAATGCAACATAGGCAAAAGTAAGTTTTGTTCTATATTCTTCCTCTGCTCTACTCTGACTTAAATTGCTACTACTCTTGAGGTTTTTAAGCTTCTATTCGACACAAAGTCAAGAAAACATGTCTTCACACACATTTCTCATTCTCTGGAGAAATGATAATTTGCAAATATTTTTTACCGCATTGCCAATGCCAGTAAGAGACTATTTCAAGATGGTTTAAATCATATTTATCATTATTAAGTAAGAAAATACTTATTTTTAGCCATGGTTACGCCATTGCTGAGAAAAACACAGCGCATGCCACTTGTAGAAAGCTAGAAGAACAGCTGGAAGAGAGAGCAAAAGTAATAAAGCAGTAAGTAGGCCTCTGTCTCAACGAACCTTGCCAATAGTTATAAGTTGTGGTGCCTGTAGAGGAACGAAATTACTCTCAACACATTCTCTCGCTTTGCTGTCTTTTGTAGTTATGATGTGAGTATTTCTTTGCTACTTTCAAAGTTTCTTGGTCTATCAGAAAGACATCCAGCAATTTTGTAACAATCGGTCAATGACTGTAAGAATTAAGTGTAAACAAGTATATATTGTTGTACTAAAAAACACATTTAAGTGTTAAATATCATTAGAATACAAATGGGGAGATTGCAAAGGCCCCCTGGTGTTGACAGGTCCTTTTGTAAAAAGGGCGTCTTTTAAGTAAAGCTTTTTAAACATTTAGCTTTTTAAGTAAATTTGGCTACATCCTTAATGATTGTCTCTTCATTTTAAAACCATGAGTCATAAGGAGAGTGCGTACCCAAATACCTATTACCCAGCAGGGTCATGATTAAGTCCCGCACACCCCCTTCGCTTTGAGAGAAGGGAGTGTTTTATTTGAAAGGCTGATACTTATAGCTTTTACCAAGGAAATTTTTTTCGTAAGGTCAATTCTACTGTTGCATTTCAGATTGCAAAGGGATGGCACAATAGCACTTTGGAAGAGAGAAAAACAAAAAATCGTGAGCAACATAAACGAGAGGTATGTTGAGAGTAGCTTGAGAACGTATTAAATGACTAAAAAGTAGGCTTGAGAAGTAGAAATCCCTCCACCATCTCCGTTTTATGAAAGCCGATTTATTTTCATCTTGAAATTGGAATTATTAAGAATGTTAATAATATTGGATGTACCAAAATTACACTTTGATGATGCCTCGGAAAAACTGATAAGCTCGAATGACCGCTTACGAGAACATCAATACTGGCATGTTAAGGATGTGAGAGTGTGGTAGAGTAGGGGATTTTATAGTTCTTTTTAAAGATGGAGGCTTATTTGAAGGATTGACTTATAAGAGGGGACCAATTCGAGATGAATGATGTTTACGATATTTTTTTACCAATGCATTCTTAATAAAAGTAGATGGAGTTTGGGACGTCCTCAACCACACATCTTAAAATAACAACTCTCGAGAACGTTATACCTATTCTAAAGTACATTGTCTGAAAAAGCTTTCAAAAGTTCATACCAGTTTGAAAGAATAATTTTAAAAGTTGACATCCCGTTTTGTTAAAAGTTGACAGCCATTTCAATGCTTTTTTCAACAATTTCATCATAGTTTAAAACTATAATCCTTTCATTGTTTTTTTTATGCAAAATAATTTACTTTGCTCAATATAAGGCTAAACCTGTTCTTAGAAATTTTACCGCTTCAGATAAATTGCTCTCTTTTTACAGACATTTTTGAGTGAATTGAACACAGTTCAATTATTTCTCATTCATTTGAATATCAACAGAAAACCAAAGCAAAACTATTTTAACAATCAAGAGTTGGTAAACTCCGCTCTGTAATCCAGTATTTAGAACCATTTTCCTCAAACACAATCAATATTAACTGTTTCGTCCTCTTAATACCCATCTGTTGCCTTGTACAGAGATAAAAAGTTTCTTGTTGCCGTGGAAATATTTAGGTGTCTCGAAAGAAATCTTAATCCGCTTCAAAGTACCTTTATGTAGAAAGAAATGAAAGCATCATGGGTCATTAGACATCTTTTAACAACAAACGAACGACCAAGCCGGGTTTGGGTCGTTAGATCTGTTTTTAATAACAAACGAGCCATCATACCTGATGCGATCAGTTATTTTTATCACAGCTAAAAGCTTTTGAACTTTGGTTACACCAGTTTTGGAAGATTTGCTTTCTATTTTTACAGTGATTATTTAGAAGTGTTAAGCCTCGTTGCTTTGTAATTAGACTCAGCTTTTTTTCGCTGTTTTAGAAGTCTATCTCCAAATCTGTCTCATGTGCATGCCTCAAGTCGCTAGTCGACGAACCGCTTCCGGTATTTTACCGTCCGGTTCCACTATTCCCCAAATTCCTGCAATGTTGCCTTTGTAAGTTTCGTAATGCAAGACACTTTTTGCAGAATAGAACTTCCAATCTTTCAAATGGAGTTTGTACATATCTGACAATCATGAACGAAACTGATGGAAACCTCGAGAGGCCTAGCTGTAGTCACGTCTTCGCCACCGTAACTTGACTCCCAAGTGCCTTTTTTATGCTGAGTTTCTCGTCTCTGATTTGTTCGCCCTAAAGAAAATATTTAAAATGTAGCCTACAAGGCATCTTAAGGTAATTAGACTGTCTTGTTATGAGAAATTTGATAGCTTTTAAAAAGCTAGGGATGAAAGCATCGCATTAGTTGTATAGCATTTTAAAGTTAACAGCCCTTTGTGTTCTTTTTGTCAGGGAAGCTCGATTAGAGAAAGAATTGCAAAAAGCGAAAGAGAATATAGAAGATTTGCAGAACAGGATGCAAGACCGAGTCAAGGTTTGGTTTTTTCACTTAAATATATAGGAATGCAATTTTTTTGCTCTGACATTTCCTGGAGAGAATAATATGAGTGAAGAATTAATAATCGATATTGATACTATGTAAACAATTTGCATTGTGTATGTATGTGCTTCCATGCAGTGATGTACCATTTAGCAAACATGCTTGTAGCAATTGATCCAAACCATTCTTTAACAAATATAACAAAGGGCTTTAAGTACTTTTGTATTTGTGTTTGTATTTGTTTCTACCTAGCATCCGAAGTTAGTTTTTAGGACACTGAGAATCTTATGCTTATCGAGAAGTGTCCTGGTCCTTCCTCCCGATGTGACCGCACCTCGTGATTCCTACGCATGGAATTACAAAGAGCTGGCAACTCTCTTCGCTCTCCTTACTTTTGCTGGGTACTTTGACAGATTCTGACGTCAACAATGTCAACCATTCTTTTCTCATTTTCCCTCATACTCAGTGAGGTTTTTGGCTCAAAATATAGTTATCAATTTAAATTCCCAGATATGTAATATAAGCATAGAAATGTTAATATAGTTTGAGAGATAATTACAAAATGTCAAGAGTTAGAAAACAGTTCTCTCCACCAATTGCATCAAATGTCAGTTATGGAAATTTATCTAGTAATTCATAATTGATCTTATAAAAATGAATAATAAGTTCGTTAGTTTGACTGAATTTCAAGATTTCCTATCTTGTTATTGTGCGACAGCCACAAAGTACCAGAACTTAGTTAGCATTTTAAATCCGTTTTGATCATAACAGTGTTTCTTTTGCTTGTTAACAGGAATTAACAAACCAGATAAAGATTTTGAAAATGGAGAAACAGTATTTTGGAACAGTCGTAAACAGCAAAGGTACCATTAGGCCGAATGCTACTTGTTAGCAGGAAATGGCCTTAATAACCTCTTAACAATGTCCTATAATGGACCTAAAGTTGCTAAGAAAATATTGGAAATCACGGTGGCCCACAAGAGTCACGGCACGTATTCATGATATCCACAGCAAACATTCCTTTTCAGATAAACTTTCTCTCACATTCACGGCAAACATTCCCTCACATTCACGGCAAACATTCCCTCACATTCACGGCACACTTTGTTTCACTTTTCTTTAGCTGGTTGCTTAATTTGTCTCTTCTGATCATGATATTTAAAGAATGATGAATTTCTTTTGGTCCAGCGAATCGTATTTCAAGTCTGTATTTCATACCTCAACAGTTGCACAACGAGAAGAAATAGATCAGCTTCAACGTGAATTATTCCTCAAAGATCGAGTAAGTGAATATTGCTGGCTGCTCATCCATATTTGTTTTTGAAGGAGGAAAGGGGGATACGTAGGAACATAATAAACTTAAAGATTAAGTCAGCTTATAAGGCTGCTTACGTTACATGATTGGAATAAAAGCAAAGCAACAGAAAACAGGCTGTTGAAATTTTATACCATCGGTAGATTCAGTGTTGCTTCATCTCTTTATCACACAACATATTTAAAAAATCACATGAAATATATAACAACTTCTACAATCTAACTTAGAGGATTTACTGCTTTTGAGAAGAATTTTTTCTTCTTGGGTACATACAGCCAATAGATGACACGAATTCTGCTCCCTGATTTCCCATCAGCAGAAGCTGTCAATTTCTTGACTTAATAATCTTTCGAAACATTATGCTGCTGATTTCACCTTAAGTAGAAAAGATACTCAAGCAAACGTTTGATATTAATACATGCCGTTGGTTTTAGTGTGGATATACTTTGTTTTGTTCAGGCATTAATTGTAGCTGAAGGAGAGATACAAAGACAACAACAATATTTCGTCGGATTTCTCACTGGCATCGCAAGAGACTTCAGGTTAGATATAATTTGATGACATCTCTTAGAGGTCAAAGGAAAAGGTCACGAGTCAAAGTTTCAAAGTAGTACTCAAGATGGAGGCACGTTGTAAACATATACATGTATATACTGAAATGAAACAGCCAGTTTCGATCCACAACTGGGTATATATATTTCCTAGCATAGAGTTTTCGACCTATGTTTTGACGTTTTAAACTCTGAAGAGTGTCAGACGAAAAGCTTTAGTTTACTAAATGTTTGCTTTTTTCAAAGCCATTTTCAAGATGGAGGCAAGTTGTAAACATATACATGTATATACTGAAATGAAACAGCCAGGTTATTATCAAAATATTGATGCGAATTCATATGCTTGTGTTTCGCGTTACCTTGATGTGCTATCAAAACTGTTAGACTAACACGTTGAACAGACAATGTAATTTTGTATCTCTTGCAAACATTGTTTTAGATTGATGATGTCAAGGTCAAATGTGGACGAAAGCCGGTATAACAGAGAACAGAAAAGCTTTGCCTTGACTCTAGAGAAAATGATCAAAGCAGCCAAGGAAGGTAACTGCAAACATAACCTTTTGACTTGTGAGATACTTCGTGCTCCATCAAGTTTTAATAGATTTTTTAAAAAACCAGTGCCATATTTCAACGCCGAGTCCTAGAATAGGGTGGCTTAGCTTTATTAACAAGGGGAATTTATTTTACAATTATGAAAACTGACTGTGAAATGACAAAAATTTAAACGAATATGCCCCTAACAAAAATGAAATAACGAACTTGAAAACAAATACAAAATCTTTGATAAATATTTTGGAAATATTCACCACAAATTGAAACTTTCTCCGTTTTTGTTACTTTGAAAGTGTCTTTTGGTGGGACCAGTCAACAAAATCGAATGACAAACGGCTTTTCTTTTATTTAGGACTACTGTCATCGTTTAGAGCATCACTTCCTTCGCATTATCTTGGAATTGGAATTGTGAGTTTCTCCTTATAAAGAACTCGTTTCTATTCATTCGGGGATGCCTGAGCATATTTGAGAGTGGGAGGGGGGAAGTGGGGGAGTGGGGGAATGGGGGAGTGGGGGTGGTTGGGGAGAGGCAAACTGGCAAACATGCTGTCAAACTCCTAAAGTAGTTCGCCATTATTATCTTCGATCCCACAGCCTTGATCTTATACTTCGACCCCGGCGTGCCTATCAATGGTAGATCCTGAGCTTTGTAGAGATAGCAGATTCTGATAAGGCTATGTCTGGAGTATTGAATGTGTGATACATACCTAAATATAGTTGAATACATAATTTTAACTGAACAAACGAGAACGAAATATCATAAAAGAATGATGTGACAGCCGGTTTATCACTTCCTTAATGTCTTTTTTTAATCGTAGGTAATTAAAGGCCTTCCTATTAAAAAGTCAGTTGCTTCAAAGAGCACTGAGCTGCTACAGAAATCCATCACGGTTGAAAATCTACTTAATGACGAAAGGTTATTATGAATACATATTGTATTTATTACCTTATTACCTACGAAATATTAGTATATTGTCTTAATTCAGACAGGAAACCTGAATAAGTATTATTTCCTGACCCAAAGATTTTTAACTAGAGCCAATATTGATGCTTGCGTAATTTTTCCTTTCACCGAATATAGGCCTACCACGAAAATAGGCCATATCTGTACAAAAAAAAGCTAAAACAACTGACCGTTTACTGAACGAAATGTTCCGGATATTGCATCTTACCTTCCTTAACTTGTTTCTGTTTGGGCCTTCTAATTTTAGTAATTCGTTCCGTTAAGTTAACAGCATTTTTCAACTAAACAAACATTTAGATCTGATTCTGTGTTTCCTGTTAAAACTTTTTTTAATACCTTCTGCTTGTTTTTCTAGCATAGGAAACTAAGCCAATAACTAGTTTTAGCTCCTTAGTTGTTCATAAAAATAATGTTAATTATTGTATAAGACGAAGCCTTATAAAATTGACTTTGTTCATTTTTGATACAGAATCAGAAAGCCAAGACTTAGCTCTGCATTGATAACCTGGCGAGAGGGCAAAATGACTGCATCGGAAAGAGCTCAAGAGCTTTTGCAAGGTGAGTATCGCTGAGCGCCGTCCTTGCCCCGAATTATTTGTTCTCTTTTAAGAAAAGTTCGTTTTGTTACATTGCCATTGATCACTTTCTATAAAATAATCTTGAAAAACTAAGAACACCATTACAAGTAAGGTCTTGGTAAAGGTAGCTAGAGTTATGTTGGTGAAATGAGATTTCCTTGGTAATGCTGAAAGATGGACAAATATTGAATTGGTAGCAGTACATTTCCTCTGCTTACCAGAGTGGTTTTTATAAGCTATTTAATTTTGGTTTGAAGAGGTTTTATGAGCTATTTAATTTTGATTAAACACAACTTTTAAATAACAGTTTAGCACATTTAACACTACTAAGCATTCTAGAATAATGCAACTTGTTACCTAAGGGTGTGACCAACGTAACTTTTGAATCAGTTGAGGCCTTTGTAACACTTCGTTATTGAGCATTTTAATAGTAGTTGGTAATTGACTTCAACACTAATCTTTACAGAAACACTAAACCCTGTGAAACATCCAGCACTCATCGACACTTCAACTGGATCTTTAAATCTCGACCTAGCAAAATCAACATTTCCCGAAACATCATTAGCAGACGTATGTATCACCGTGTTTTCTGTAAAAAGGGGCGAAGCAGCGACTAAATCAAATGCACCCTCTAGATAACTGTGGATGCAATATCCCACCAATCTCTTGAGAATAAGATTGACCTCGAAATCTCACAAATTATGGTAGAAACTTTAGAGATAACACGAAGGTGTTCAAAACCTTTGATCTGCAATCCACGTTGAGCCTTAGCAAAATTGTTCTGTTTGTTGCAATTTATACTTACCACAAACCTAATTACAGAAATTCGTAGTTTACAAACAAAAACCTTGAAGAATATATATTTTCATACACAGATAGCCGTTCGCAATATAACTTGTTATCAATTGTTTTATGGTCCGAGATAACAGTACAATCTACTTCCCGTTTAAAGCTGAAGACGATTTTAATTTAAGCACAAAACTTATTACAAAGCTGATATAAAAATTAAACACCTGCAAGAAATCCAAATTCAGAAATTGGAGACAATGATTGTGTGCTTATTTGACTTTAACTGGAAAACAATGTATTTCCATCTTTTATGAATCGTGATTTTTAATGTTGATCAACACGCAAATACCCGGCGTCTCGCGTTCATCATCAAACGAAGAAACAAAGTGATCAAAGCCAAACTCAGCTTTCAATGATCATCAACTCACGCTATTCACCAGCTGTGTTTGCTCAATTTTTACTTAAGTAAATTATCTTGTCTCTTTTTCATGATTTTCGTTGAGGAGGAAGAATACAGCCATCAACGAGCAATTTCTGCGTTTGATCGAGAAAAGCAATATATGCATTTCAAGCCACTTGCTTTCTCGAGTGACAATTGATAAATAAACATTTTCACTCAACTTTAAGGATAATGAATGAAAATAATGACAACAGAGATTACAAAAGTGTTGAAGTTTTCTTGTATCTGACATAAAAGGCAATCGAAAATGAGCTTAAACCGTCTTTCAATCAAGAATTGACCAATCACTGATGGAGATTCCACAAACTCGCTTATTGATTGGCCAATATTGATTTCCTTTCATGGATTATGTTGCCGCAGAATATGATGTGACCGCTTCCTTCTTCATCCTTCCGCGATCACGGCTTGTTTCACAGCTGATCTTTCTTTTAAACCATCCTTTAAAGGCTCTTGTGCAACCGGCATGCTCAGCGGCAACTGTCTTGAGAAATTGATTGTGTTTTGTTTTTTCATGCAGCACAATATAAGGCCGGTTTGAAAATATAGCCGCAAAGCATGCCGGTTGCGCAAGAGCCTTTTATTCTTCCATAAGATGTTACTTCATGTCCTATATTTAAAAAGTTTTATTCTTAATCAAGCTGTATTATTTCCTTTTGATGCAATCCAATTAAAGCCATTTCAAGAGCTACTGAAATCATTAAACCCTAATTGTGAGCTCAATGTTTCTAGATCAGAGGATTATTATCAATATTTAGACAATTTGATGTCAATGGTGACTTTCATCTGGATACGCCTGAGGTAACGGTTTTATTTTTTAAATGTTTAATGATCATAGCAATTAGAAAGGCTCAGAGTCTAAAATTAGTGGTTTTACATATGTATACGCTTCATTATCTGGTTAACTAACCGTGATGCCAGTTAACGACAATAAAGCAGAATTACTCATACCTATCGCAAAATATTATGATAACGCAAAAAATGCATTTACTTTGTATTAAGCTTGAAGTATGCTTCTTTCAACATTTGTGTGTGTTTTAAAACATGGGTAATGACAAAGGCACGTATAATTTGAAATTTGCCAATAGATAGCTGTTATTCTGGCTTTTTTCATAAAGTTATGAACCAAGACGAAATTACAGAGGTTTGATGGGGAAAAGGCCTGTGTTCATTTTGCTATATCACAACCTGTTATGATATATTTCATTAACGTATTTGACTGGTTTTGCATATTTAGAGGTATTTCATGATGCTCCTTCCGGTTCTGGGATCCAAATTCAAAATTTATATGAACTCCATTCTTACACTTCAACAAACATACATAATGTATTTTCTTTAGTTATTAAGAGCTGTTCCAGATACTCTAGGACGAATGGCCACATCAGAAGAGATTGCTGTAAGTTTGTTCTACTGCTTGAGTATCGTACATGTGTCACTTCTTCTTTTGTTCATAACCGCACGAATGGCTTAAGACCCTTTGTTCTGAACTCTGGCAGTCGTTTTGAAGTCAGCTTTCTCATAGGTTTTTCTTCCAAAATTTTGAAAAATGTTGCTGCAAATTCGAAGCAAATAGATAAAAAAATAAATTGTTACACTTTCATATACTTCTCAAATAAAGAACATTTTTGCTGCTGTGTTATGAAGACAAGCTGCTTAAGATATCCAGAGATATGGCAATACTAAAAGCAGTAAAACGACAATGTACCTTTTCTTTTTTCTTCTCCTTTTCTTACTTCGTTTTATTCTCTTTTTTTTTCTTCTTTTCTTCCTTAATATTATTACCATATTCTTCTTGTTCTTCTTCTCTTTACTTCTTTCTACTTTATCTCTTTTCTTTTGCCTTTCCTCTTTGTCTTTTTTATCCTTTTTAACATCTTCCTTTTCTTTCTTCTTCCTCGCTTTGTTCCTTTTCATCCTTTTCTTTCTCTCCATCTTTCATTTTTCATTTCTCTTTCCCTTGTTTTTCTTCTTCATCATCCTTTCTTCTTTTTCTTCGTTTCTTCGTTCCCTATCTTTTCTCATCAAAGTTTACTTTTTCGTTCTTCTTTTTCCATTCTTTCTTATCTCTATTCTTCTTTCTTTGTTTTGACTTTTCATCCTTCCCCTTTCTTCTACGTTTTCTTTCTTTGTAGTAGAGAAACATTCTACTGAAATCTGATAAAACCAAATGTATTTTACACATTTGTTTTATCTTTTATTCATAAGAAATAAAAACTATGACCTACCCTTCATGAATATGTCTCCCATGAATCTGGTTACTGGCAGCTGTCATGAGACTAAGTTGCTGAAAATAATAAAGCTGAGAAAAACAATTTTGTCTCAAAAATTTAATTGTTCCAACATAGTTGATACGAAACTATTTGCCAGGGACATTTCAAAAGCGATGGATAAATACCACTTTTACGGAAGTGTTCTCTGAAAACTTTTTGATGATTTACAATAAAATTCACAATTGGCTGCAAATGGGAAATTTAGATAAGAATTTCATCAACAAATGGGCAGTTGTTCTCGCAGACATTTTAAATTTGTCAAAGTTATTTCATAGGTACTCAAAATGCTCAGTGTCGGAGTCCAAAGAGGACCATTTGCTCTCAGTGCCCCTCTCTATTTTGATGTCTTTCGAGTTGGTTCACTTTTTGTATCTGAATTGTTTTGCAGGAAGCAATGGCAGAAGTTGATGAAGACAAATCAGGGACGATTGACTTTTATGAATTTGTCAACGTTTACTTGATGTTGTCGAAAGGAGAAGGTATTTCAACAGATTTTGCAACATTTATCATATATACAAGCCGAAATATAAAGCTGAATTGATAAGAATTACAACATTTTGCTTAAAAACACTAAAATAAAAACGTTTTCGTTTTCATGAAGATATGGGTGTGCAAAAGGTCTTGATTTGGTCGATTCTATTATCTTTTAGGGAAATTTGCTAATGGCTTTTGATCTCGTGAACGATGTTTTCTATCTTATGTTTTTTTCCAGAAGTAATGTGTAATTTAATTACGCTGTTTACTCTTTTCCAGCAAACAGCTCACTTTGAAGATTTTATTTGTATATGATACTCTACCAGGAGCTGCTATCATCCCCCAATTTTGTAGGCCTTGGTAGTATTTGCTACCGAGAACTAAGGAGCATATCATGGGCTGGGAGGACTTTATGGGGGGGGGGGGTGGTTTAAACACACTAAAAACTAAGGGCAAGACGTGGTTTCAAATATATTTTGGAAAGTATCGGGGGCGCTGCAAGCACTCACTTCTACGGTACTTGACCCTAAGGCCACAAAATCATGTCTTTTTCAATCTGTGTCTTTATTTCAGGTAAATCAGCACTGTTTAGAAAAAAGGCGCTGAAAGCCCTTCAGAAGACCAGCGATAACTCCTCAAATATTTGTTCTATTCAGTAATCTTTATTTATTGTAAATTCAATCATATCTCAATTATGTTTTTCATTGTAACCTTTTTTGTTGTCTTTTCCTTGTGTTCCTGGTCTCTCAACCTGTCTTTGCACTTGCACCCCGAAGGGTATTCGGTGGGCTATTGATAAGCAGCAACTATGAACAACACAGCAATGCAGTAGATCTATACAAAAACATGCCTAAGAATTAAACAACACACAGATTGTATTTCGCGTCTTGTATTTAAGAACTTATTTTTGCCTGACAAGGCTCTCACTTAAAGGGGCATCGTCCCTTGAACGACCGTCACAAGGCACCCCTGATGGTAGGCATACAAAAATGAATTCATCATCAAGTTGCCTTCGGATAAGAATCCAGGGTAAGAACTTTTTGACCTTGCAACTCATATGCTCCTGTTGAACAAGACCCAAAAACAGTCTGTCACTCGAAATAGTAAGCTGTTCTTTACGGGATTTACTTTGTGACATTACTGCGGAATTCCATGTCAAGCAATGCAATTCAATGTCACTGATTCCTCGCTACTCTTCTGCATTGCTAACGACCGCAATTTAAGAAACGTTTCTCAAAAAACGCCAAAAGGGGACAAATGATATAGGTGATCTTTCAAAAAGTTGATTATCATGACACTTTCATGACTTGTGAAGCAATAAAGGACTAAATTTTGGGTCTTTGATGAATACCAAAAGACCTCTGGAGTATACTCTTTGATACTTGTCAATATACAAAGTACCCATAAATGGGTCACGTAGCAATATTCTAGAATTTTTTTTAATTTGTAGCAAACCTTCATGAGGATTTCAAACTAAATAGCTTGCAGAAATTTCCCTGCTCTATCTGTTACTATTTTATTCGCGAGTTCTCTTCTGTGCTTCAACTTCTGTGCTAAATAACTTTCCATATCATATGTGTAGCATGTGCTTCCCGGAACTGATTGTTATTGTATGTAATTTAATAATGTCATCGTTTCTATCTGAATCTTTGTACTCTGTTGTTTGTACAGTATGTCTGTTGTTCTGTCTTGATGTGTTGAATAACAAACTGTGATGTTGTATAGAATTATTAGATCTAGATTGTAAAGATCAGTTGTTGGATTGAATATGAACATATGAACTTGTATTTGTCTTCCTCGCTACATATGACAATTTATTCATGAACGTTAATTTTTTCGTTAACCTTAAATAATTTTAGTCACAAGGTCACAAGGCCAGTTGGTTTTGCTTTCTGGTGGCAGCTAGATAAAAACTTATCAAATGTGGGGAAATTTTAACAAGAAAGAAAGTAAATGCGACAGGTTTCTATAAAATACATGATTAGACATTCAACAGATAAACTAAGAAAACAAATTACCTTGTGCCGTTCACGGCTGGAATAGACACGTGGGCATCAATGCATTACGTAACTTATAAACTGATATTGACACAGAGAAGGTTAGCCTGTGCCCCAGTCCACAAATGCTGCATTTGCAAAGGCTAAGAGAAGATTGACTTCTGCAATTATCTGGAAAATCTTGTCCATGTTTATCCGAAAATGTTAGGCAGTTCTATAAATCTTTTTAAATAAAGGAGAGTAGGAACTTTCAATGTTTATGCCAGTTTACCCCGATTTTACCCCCATTATGTTTTAAAAACAAAATTAAGTTAACAGTGAACAACATTTTTCTTGTTGTCTGGCGTCCATCTACAAAGTTGAAGCATAGCAAACCGTGTAATTTACGGTGGCCCACAGGTGCCACGGCAAAACTTTCTTTTTTCGCAGCAAAACTTTCTTTTTTCACGGCAAAACTTTCTTTCTCACGGCAAAACTTTCTTTCTCACGGCAAAACTTACTTTCTCACGGCAAAACTTTCTTTACGTGATGTTGTGTACGTGATACTTAGATCTAATCAATGCTTTAGACGTTTTAAACTTCGCAGATTTGCGAATACCTACATCTTCTCTTGATAATTCTTGCAGAAAGACAGCCCAGAAATGGTCTAAATTTATCTAGGTTGGGCTAGGCTAGGCCTACATGCCTATCTCAACGAAACAGTACCGCATGCAAGGTCTTTGATTCCTTTGTTTTGAAAGCAGTGAAAAAGATCAATTCGTTGAAAATTGGCGTGCACATAAAATTTGTGCAAAAAAATCTCGTACGTGCACTTGGCACGCTCGATTGTGGCTTGTAAAAAACCTATAAATTGGGTATTGTGTTTAATATAATATCATATCGTATTACTCACAGGGTGGGTTGATGGCTACATAATATAAGGGGAGAAAAAATCGAAGTGGTTGCCCAACAAACAACATCCATTGTTTATGAAAATTTTGCCTGACTGACTCATTGTAGATTTCTGCCTGATTATCGCTTTTTTGGAAACTTTTCAAAGTTGGGAAACTACAGTTGCCGCTGCAGCCCCCTTATCTCCCCAGGCCCTTGTCTACTACGCCTATGTTAGAAAAGCAACAGGAACAAAGCAATACGACGACGAGAATCCAATGTCACGAGATAGAATATTCAAAATAAATTAAATTTGAGGAATAAATTAAATTCAAAGAAAGTTTTGCCGTGAGAAAGAAAGTTTTGCCGTGAGAAGTAACGTTTTGCCGTGAGAAATAAAGTTTTGCCGTGAAAAAAGAAAGTTTTGCCGTGAGAAAGTAAGTTTTGCCGTGAGAAAGAAAGTTTTGCCGTGAGAAAGAAAGTTTTGCCGTGGCACCTGTGGGCCACCGTAGTAATTAGATTTAGACGCTTAAATTTTACACTGCAAATGAAAATTCTACGTACTAATTCCAAACATTTGTTACGTGCTTCACATTTTACCACGGGTCGTAAAACATTGTAGAAATCTGAAGAAAGCACTTTTTAGATAGAGCTGAATGGCGATAAAGTAATTGGGGTAAAAACCTGTGGCAATGTCAAATATTTGGTTTTATTTTCATTGTTCTTTTGATCCAATCAATGCCAGCAAAAGAAGCGGAAGATTTTGCTGTTTTGATGGAAGCCAAAGACACGTGTAGGAACATTCTGTATGACGGACCATTAGATCGGATACGGGGGTTTATCTTTATCTAGATATGGGGAGTTATAATCAACAAAAGATGATAAAAAAGCAATATCTGCAAAGCAAAAACTATTTCAAACTGCAAAGAATATTACCTATTATTGAATTTGCAAAATAAATTTTATTTTATTTACTAGATATTTACCAAAACATTCAGTAACCCCTGTACCTTTACCACAAATGTTTCCTAGGAACTGAACGCATCGGCTTGTGATTGGTTGGTTTGCCTCGAACCTCTTTTTCGTAACTTGTCCGGTTTGTTTTCGGCACGAAACTGAAATTACTTCCATCCTTGCAAACGTGACGGCAATATTGCCAGGCGCAAATATCACGTTATGGAGACTACACATGTCGGGTCAAGGGGTTTTTATTTTATTTTACTGTACATATTCAATTTATTACTAGCGGCTCATGCAAAGGAAAGTCCAATTAAGCTAATCACTAACAAAGAAGCTCTCGATGTAGCGAAACAGAATCCCACCGGCTCAGTGGTTTATTTTAGCAGAAGTGGTGCAAATCATGGTAAGTGAAGTTTTTGCTATTTTCTAAATTTTCAGTTTTGCTTAAATGGAAGGCGAATAGAGATATTGAAAGCTGCCTATCTTAACTTTTCTTAGCTTGTGGAAAGAATCTCAGACTGAAAGGAGCAATTCTCCCCTCTGTTATTTGCTTATATCTTCCGAAAAGACCTGTATTTGATAACATATCAGGAGCTTTAAATTATTTATTTCTGTTTGGGCTTGAAAATAGATTATCGCTAATGAATTTGTTCGAATTTTGTTGAAAGCAAAACAAAAGGAACACCACGAAGGCCAACTGTTGCCAACAGATAACTGTTCACCTGCAGACACATCCTTTCTAAAAAGAGCTTCGTCTTGATGGAGGCAAAAGGCCTTCAAATCATGCAATGCTTTATTTGAAATTGGTTCTTTGCATATTAAACATCTTCTTTAGACCCTCAATCCGCAGTATTTTCTGCGTTGTCTAAGAAATATAAGATTTTCAGCCAAGTCGAGTAAAGAGCACTTAAATGTAGATACATATCCAAGGCATCACCTTGGCTAAATTTCTACAGAAGTGCACCTAAAACTTTCCGTGTCAAGAGTGGTAAACTTGGAAAGCCATCTTCTGGGGCATGTATTCTTTGATTATAGTAAAGAGGAGGAACATCCATTGTTTCTTCAAAGCCATTTCTCTTTGAATTTTCCTATTAGACAAAGAAAAGTTTTCTTCCAGTTAAGTAGACTGTGTAATAATTTCCATTATTATCGATTAGATTAATTGTTCTTTATTGTGAACTTTGTTTACCTTTATGGCCCATTATATCACCAGTGCAAATTCTTTGCTTACACAAAAGCCCAAAACAATACAATCCGACTGGGAATAGCGAGAATTATGGCTGAAAAAGGAAGAAATACCCGAATAGATAATATCTTAATAAAACAAAGAAATCTTCTAATAATGCATATGTGAGAATAAACTGATTAAAGGGCATGTGTGGTGAACATGATTGGCTAATGCAGTACCCAATACAATTATCTCTTTTGCTTAGTACAAAGCATGGAATCGAGGGTGAATTTTTAGGGCAGTAAAAATAAATTAACAAGAAATGAAAAGTCACGAAACAATGGATTTTCACTCCAAACGCTTTTGTTTTATTAGCCAACTGCTAATTCCACAGATGCCCTTTAATTTGACTTCTGGTGGCATATCTTACAGTGTCTGGCTTCAAGTAGCTTAGTTGCAAATTCCCCAAAACACAATATACCCTGGAGCTATTCTCCCAAAGTTTAAAGATTGTAGCTAGATTTGTTTGTTTTTTCCTTCTCCTTTTCAACTGTGTTTTCAACTTTCTTGGGTTTCTATTTGACATGCGTAGAATTATGTCCATTTTAATAAAGTAATACTCTAAGGCTTTCAAATTATTGGTTTGTAGACCCTGAAATTAGAAGATTTATTGGTGAGTTTGAGAAAGCAGCTCAGGCATTGAAAGACTATGGTGTACGCTTCCACAAGGTATTAGTTTATCAATGCTTCTTGCTTACCTTTTATATGCTTCAAAAGAAATACATGGTCAAGGTGCCAGTTGCTTTGTTCACCTGCATAGAGTGTAGTCCCTCATTTCAGCTTGGCATCAAACTGGGAAAATATATTTTGATGCACAGATGTGCTCTTCACAGATTAATAATTTTAAGGATATTTTTATCATTCAGGAAATAATCTAAAGTAACCATATGTGACAAATGACTAACAAGCAATTCTTTCTCAGGTAGACTGTAATGCAGGAGTTGATGATTTAAAAAAAGAATGCGGCCAACAAAGAGACTATGTTGCTGTTTATAGGTAAGCAAAAATAATTTTTTCAAAACTTGAATTTTGCATTAAGTTGTACAATGACCTTATTTATTTGATACCCAATGTTTAATCTCGGCAGCTTGTGAAGATAACCTAGCGTCTTGGAAATAAGATTTTAACAATGAAAATATTACCATTTTCTTAACTTACCAAATAAATCTATCAGTTTTAGGAATACTTGTGTGTCTTTTTTCTTTAGGTAAATCAACTTCCAAGATATCATTTGTACTGCTCCCACACCCTGCCAAAAAAAATTTCTGAGGACTTAGCTGGGAAGATCTAATGTTACATAACATAATATGTATATAACATAATGCTCAAAGTTAGGTATATATGCATCACCACCCTAATGTGTTTACTCTCTGCTTTCCCATATATTGTCCTGAAGCCAAGGCACCATTGACCCCCCCCCCTGGCCAATGTACCATTGATTCTACTCTGTCTGTGATTTTTACCCAATACCAGCCAATTAGTGATCATTATGTATCATGAATTTTTTGTTTCCAGCTATGTGATTGTTTCCGAACTTTCACAATACAGAATCAAGACACAATGCCTAAATACTATTTTTGAATTCTGCATGTTTAATGAAATTCCAAGTAATCAATGAATGAAACTGATTGAATTTATTTGAAATCTTTGGAATCGTATTTGTATGACATTGATAGGAGGTTAGCAGGTTTCCCCCAGTTCTCATAAGGATCAATTTTTTATTTCGCCTAAATTTGATGAGAAAATGTTGGGGGAGGGGTAGTATTTTGGCAACATACTTTTTGCAATGTAATGCTATAATTTTCAAACTGCCTTTATGTAACCAAAAGTTAGTCTTGGGCCTTCCTTTCAGGTAAAATTGGAGATCCATGTTGGTAAAAGGGCGTTTTTCTGGTGTGAAAAGGACGTGGCCTAAGGTTTTTTGTTTTATCCCTCCCCCCAAGAGCCTAATGGCTGGTGCCGCCATTGTATGTTAAGCCCATTGTTTTGTAATGAGAATTTTGCATATTTCAGTAATTATGTCAATTTTCAAATCCCAATAAATTGGGAACATGGATGTGGTTCTCTATTAAATTCCTCTTTTTAGGCATTAGGTAAATTAGAGAAATATTTAAAATGAGGGGGAATCTATTATAAAATTGTTGAAATGTACTTGAGAGATCAGGCAAGAAACAAATTTTAAGTGATAGACCTGTTAGTTTGTTTACAGTGAAAAAGTATCTGGTAAAAATGACAGCTTTTATTAGAGGAATGCATTTATAGGTGGAAGTAACTTATTAGCTAAGAGGTAACTTTCTTGGAGTATAACCTCCATTCTTTTTCAGGATAAACTAATAATTCAGGATTTTCAGATTAATAAGCCCCTGATACAGCCCTTGTGTTATATTTTGACTGTCTTTGCATATATAAGCTAGTTTTATGTTCTTGATTCAGAAAACCTTTTTCATTAGATTATGTTATTGCTTTTTACT